TTTGATGTGACTCTTCTAGTGTTTGCTTAATACTTTTTTGTATGTCATGTAGCAGCATATTAATAACATGACTGTTTATTATATAGAGAGTTATGATGAGAAAAATGCTAAATGCTTATTTTACGAAATGTTTTGTTTTTAATTGACAGTATATATCCAGATTCATGGTTATTTTCACTAAAATTTTGAAATGTTTTTGAAATGTTAAAATACTGTGAAGTTAACAACAACAAAATGAAACAAAGTTCAAACAGCACTTTACTTATCAAATAGAGAACAAAATATGAAAAGGTAGCACCTACTGTGTTAGTCATGCAATAAAACTTTGTAATAAAAATGTAAAACAGTAATTCATCGACCAAAAAAATGTAAATTTTTACTTAAATCATTATACTTTCCTTCAAATTGTTTTACATTTTTTTAAAATGTTTTGCTTATCTGAAGGCATGAAGCTCTTAGAACTTAAGAACTTGGTATTATGGTATTAGGATTGATGTTTTTTATCTGTATGGTAAATAATAGAAAAGGTAATATTGGTTGTTTGGGCAGTATACTTTTATTGGTGAAGCCAAATTGACTACATATTAAAAGGTTTTATGTTTCGGAATGTTTGTAGTTTTTTGTTTCATTTTTTAATATTTCTTGTCGTCTTAAAACATAATAACTCTTTATTCCCAAAATCCTTGAATTTCTTTAGGAACATTGATGAATAGTACTGGTAAATGTGTCTCGTAATGCCATTATGAACCTAACAAGAGTATGTGAACGTGTGCGAAAGGGCCTTATAAGGCCATTTGAGACCCCTATTTGGCCATTTTTGCCATGTGAAAAGGACGTATGGGCATTTATTATGAAACAGTAGGGTTTATCATAACCAAATTAAATGTATTTAAAATGAATTTAAATGTTCATTTTTATCTGTTAATTTCATTTCTGTATGTGTTTCCATGCCAAAACTAAACGGTTTTTTCCATCTCCTGAAAAGTAGCACTTTTGCAGATAAGGCCTTTTCGAAGCCTACCGACGATATATTAGATGTCTAATAGGAGATTGTCTTTCAAGGTAAGATTGTTTCTTTTTCATGGTTTATATTACATGTATTATAAAAAAAAAGTTTTATATCTGTAAATATAATGATTTAAACCCTTCTAGCAGAAATCACAAAAGCCTATTAAAAACAAAGGGGGACAGCATAATTGTAAGGATGGAGAAATTTTTTTATTACCTAAAAATATTTTCCCATTATAAACCCTTTAAAATGTTAATATATATGTATAAAAGATCCCCTCACTTCCAATATAATAAATATATACATGTATATATTACAATTTTCTGTAAAGGATACCTAATCAGACACTTGTAAACAATTTTCTGTATTATAAAGTAACCATAAGCCCATGCCTAATTAGACACTCATAATTACACAATTTTCTGTATACCTCATGCCCATGCCTAATTGGACACTCATAATTACACAATTTTCTGTATACCTGACGTGCCCATGCCTAATGAGACGTTATTATACAATTTTTATATACCTACCATCATTATATGCTATTACATAATTTTCTGTATGCAATATTTACTATTTCACGATTTTCTATAATATTATACCATGCCTTATTGGACACTGTTACACAATTTTCTGTATACAATGCCTAATTGGACACTTTTACACAATTGTTTGTACACAATGCCTAATTGGACACTATTTCATAAGTTTCTACATATACCATGCCTAATTTGACACTTTTACACAATTTTTTATATACCATGTCTTATTAGACACAATAACACAGTTTTCTTTATATACCATGCCTAATTAGACACTATTGCACAGTTTTCTTTATACCATGCTTAATAGGACACTATTGCACAGTTTTCTTTATATATTGCCTTATTAGACACTATTACACATTTTTCTTTATAATATGCATAATAGGACACTATTACACAGTTTTCCTTATACCATGTCTAATAGGACACTATAACACAGTTTTCTTTATACCATGTCTAATAGGACACTATAATACAGTTTTCTTTATACCATGTCTAATAGGACACAATAACACAGTTTTCTTTATAATATGCATAATAGGACACTATTACACAGTTTTCTTTATACCATGCCTAATAGGACACTATAACACAGTTTTCTTTATAATATGCCTAATAGGACACTATTACACAGTTTTCTTTATACCATGTCTAATAGGACACTATTACACAGTTTTCTTTATACCATGTCTAACAGGACACTATAACACAGTTTTCTTTATAATATGCCTAATAGGACACTATTACACAGTTTTCTTTATACCATGTCTAATAGGACACTATTACACAGTTTTCTTTATACCATGTCTAATAGGACACTATTACACAGTTTTCTTTATACCCTATTACACAGTTTTCTTTATACCATGTCTAATAGGACACTATTACACAGTTTTCTTTACACCATGCCTAATAGGACACTGTTAAACAAATTTTCTATATACCATGCCTCAGTTGACGCTATTACACAATTTTCTATATAGAATACTGCCCAACCATTGAAAAAAGTTATAACTACTAGGGAAGTGTTTAATCCTGTCAGTTCATGGACGGTTCTAGAACTTAACCTTGCAAAGTAAATGCCAATCATTATGCAAATTCAATGAAACTTTCTGAAGCAGTGTTTAATAGTATCTATTTTTTGTCTAGAATGCAATTGATAAATGCAATACTTTTATATTTATAGGAACAGACAACTGATCTAAATACAAATGGATAAGGAAAGGCAAAATGGAAATATTCTAGATTTTCTCAACCAGCTTAGATATTCTAAAAGTGCAGCAGAGAAAAGAGTTATGATTTATTCTAATGTTGGAAAAGGACTAGGTTTATTTGAAAAAGACAAACTTGGAGGAGATTATGAAATTGTGATAGCAGGCCAAGAGACATTATCAGTATCATATCGAAAAAAGTATTTCCATACATTAGGGTGGAAAATCCTCATGGTTTCTTCGATGATATAAAATCACTCGAAGATGAAGAAATATTTGCGTTATGTGAGGGCGAGACTGTCTCAAGTAAACAGGGCTGTACTATATTGTAGGACATTGAAATTATTTAACTCGACGTGGTATTGTACATGTGTTCCTCACCTGTTTAATCATTGCTTTATTATAGAATATCAAGTATGGGATATTTATTTTACAGAATCAACAAACAAAGATATTTTATTCTTAATTTACCGCTGGAGTTGTGGTGGTGTCAAGTTTCAATTAAACTGTTCGAAACAATATCAGCAATTTAAATAAATGTTCGTCTGCATATTTATATCCACCTCCTACCAATAGTGACATTTCAATAACGTGCAGTGATATATTAAGTAAAAAAAAAAAAGAAATTCCATAGATTAATTTTTTCAAAGAATTTATTTCTTCAAGTAATAATTCTCATATTATTCATCAAAAATGATGAAATAAAATGTTAACAATCATTAACCTTTATTTTCAATGCATTATAAAAGTTGACTAGTGCCGTATTACACCTTTTTAACAAGTGAACAGAATGAGCAATTTTCATAATCAGTCCACTGTATGTACCGTACTGGTTCTAATTAACACCGTATGAGCAGTGCTCAATTCCATAGGAACCAAGCTTACTGGAATCTATTGAAAGGATGCTTATTAAAACTGATATGGTAATGAATTTATACATCATACATTCATGATACCATATGGCTTCTAATTAACTCCCTTAAAAGCTTTTCTACATTTTAGAGTCATGAGCATATTGGGATATGGATAGGTGCTAATTAAAATGCATAAGGTGACTAATTTTTACACATTTCTTAATTCATTACACCATATCACTTCTAATTAACACCCTATGAACTTTGCTAAATTCCATAAAAAGAAACATGGCAATGCCATGAAACCAGGTTTTCAATTATCACCATTGTAGATAAATATGTTGTATTTGAAATACAAATACAAGCAACAAACAATGTAACTATGTGCAATGTAAAACATGAATAATGTAGGAGGAATTGCCACCGAGTAGTGTTCACTATATATTCTGTATAAGGAAAAAAAACAAAGGGCCATAATTAGGTCAAATATTACCCAATCACAAAATCCTGACAATATGCACCAGGGCACTTGATGACAAAGCTTCTGTGAAAGTTTAAACAAAATCCGTTGAGAATTGTAGAAGGAGTTCAGCACAGAAGAAATTGTTCACTATAAATTCTATATAAGGGGCAATAAATAGGTCAAATATTATCCAATCGCAAAACCCCGACAATATGCCCCAGGGCACTTGGTGACAAAGGTTCTGTGAAAATTTTGTCAAAATCCGTGGAGAAATGTAGGAGGTGTTGCGCACAGAAGAAATTGTTCACTATATATTCTTTATAAGGAAAAAAAACAAAGGGCCATAATTAGGTCAAATATTATCCAATCGCAAAACCCTGACAATATGCCCAAGGGCACTTGATGACAAAGCTTCTGTAAAAGTTTGGTCAAAATCCGTTGAGAAATGTAGGAGGAGTTGCGCACAGAAGAAATTGTTCACTATATATTCTATATAAGGAAAAAAAACAAAGGGCCATAATTAGGTCAAATATTATCCAATCGCAAAACCCTGGCAATATGCCCAAGGGCACTTGATGACAAAGCTTCTGTGAAAGTTTGGTCAAAATCTGTTGAGAAATGTAGGAGGAGTTGCGCACGGAAGAAATTGTTCACTATATATTCTATATAAGGAAAAAAAACAAAGGGCCATAATTAGGTCAAATATTATCCAATCGCAAAACCCCGACAATATGCGCCAGGGCACTTGATGACAAAGCTTCTGTGAAAGTTTGGTCAAAATCCGTTGAGAAATGTAGAAGGAGTTGCGCACAGAAGAAATTGTTTACGCCCGTCCGCCCGCCCGCCCATCCGCCCGCCCGCCGACATACCTCAATCTAATAGCCAGTTTTTTCCTTCGGAAAACCTGGTTAATAAGAGTGAGCTTATTTGGAACCACTTACAGGTAGGAGCTAATTAGAATAAATATGATTATCAATTTATTTATCATTTCCTATTTAATGTACAACACTGATTCTAAATAAAACTAAATAAACTCTGTATCAACTTAGATTATTTCAGAACCTCAAATGGGAGGGCACCAATTAGAACCATTACAGTAATTAATTCTTACATCATTATTCATTCATAACAATAAATAAAAAGCATCAGGGATAATTTACAGCTTCATCTTACATACATGTATATAAATATACTTAAAGAAATACAACTAAATATGATAAGCTATTAAGGTTATCCAAAAAGAAAACACAAAATTAAAATGACAGCTACAGTATACCTTTTGCACTTTAACACTGTTGCTTTATGGCAATTTTATTTTACTGTCGCACATTTATCTTTTAATTCAACACCAGTAAAACACCAGATTGTTTCAGACCTTCATTCTGCAGAAGCACTTTTTTATGGACATTTGACCTTGGATATAAATTTGGCACAATATGAAGAGCAAATTTTTTTAATATTTCATTTACTGAATCATTTATTAAATTCCATTGGCATAAGAAAATGTATGTTTAAACTGTACACCAGTGATCATGCACTGAGACTTTAGTGTTTCAAAATTTATTTAAACCTTAAAATGCTTAATTTGTATGTTAGACTTGCCCTCATCAATGAATTTGGAATTCTCCATTGTTATTGCACAGGGTTTAGAATATCAAAATGTTTAACCTTAAACCTTGAATCCTATGCCTTTAGCATAGAACCAGGCCAGCCTGTAGATCTGTGCTGTCTGATCACGCTCAAACTGTTGGCTGACCCAACTTTTCATTTTCATCTCGATATCTTTAAAATTAATAATGGAAAGTTCCAATAATCGGAGCCTGACAAGTCCATTTAAGAAATTTCGCAGAAATAGTTGTTAACAGTCTAATGTCTGGTCAATCTATAAGGACGTGAAGACCAGCCTGAGGATGTCCAAGCCTAGGCTAGCCTGAGGATGTACAGGCCAAGGCCAGCCAGAGGATGTCAAAGCCAAGGCCAGCCTCAGGATGTACAAGCCTAGGCCAGCCTTAGGATGTCCAAGCCCAGGCTAGCCTGAGGATATGCAGGCCAGCAAGGGGATATCCAAGCCCAGGCTAGCCTAAGGATAAACAGACCAGCCTGGTTCTATATTTGTGACTTAATAAAGTACTTTTTTAAACAAAATAATTATACTATGCAACTACAAAACACTAAAAATTTGCTATTTGATTATCATCAATGCTGTTCAAAAATTTTGAATGGTATGATCAAAACCCTCTAGTTAAAGACCACCTTTAAATCAAGACCAGTTTCTCTTTAATATGTTATATGTACTAATTTTACAGAGATAACTAGTTCACACAGTAATGTCTATAAACCTTTAAATAAAATACAAACATACATGAAATACCAACTGTATGCTTTTCATGTAAATTAAAGTATTTAACTATGACAAAAAAGCCCAAGATGGATGTAATAATACTAAGAGAGGAAAAAAAGGACTAAAATATAAATGTAAAATTCCATTAAAACAAACAATATAAGATGAATCTTTAGACAAAGGTCAACTGAAAAACAGGGGTTAACAATTTTCTCCTTTTCTCAAAAAAAATAAATAAACTGAAGCTTTTACCATGTACCAGTCCTTTGTGACCTGCACCTTCTCAACTCGAAGATTGAAATTCAAAAATTTGAAAAAGCCAAATTTTGAGCTCGAGTAGAATTTCGAAATTTGGGTTTTTGAAAATTTTGAATTTCAATCCTAGAGCTGGCTCAAAATTCAAATCTATCTCCAAATTCGGACTTTTAAAATTAAATTAAATATCTTTAAAGCATACAGAATGTTAATGAAATTAATACATCATATTAACATTAACAACAAACATTCCTTAAGATTTGAAATGCATCAATATTAAAATTCAGGCACAGTTTGTTATTTGGCAAACATTTTCCCTGTAAGTAAAATTGAACACTTGTGTATTAATAAACAATATAAAATAGATATATTGTAGCCATTTAAATAACTATACAAATAATTTTGAGCAGTTAAGACCTTTTATTTTAAAAGAACTCAACTGAGGTCCAAAGGCCAAAAGCATAAAATCTAAAAATATCTTACACAGATCAGCTTGTTAACTTAAAACAGAAAGGTATGCAAAAGATATTTAAGAAATATACTCAGAAATAATTTGAAAATTGTATTTTTGTGCTTTTTTAACCTGATGTGAGTGAAAAGCATAGCAATGCTTCTCAATTTTTAATCATTTTTCACAATAAGATTTGTTACTCAGAAAAAAACGTAGTGAGCATATGACCTGAAATTTTAAGTTATTGACCTAGACCTACATCAAATGGAACATTATCTTCAAAAAATTATTTCCAGTCCCGTCATGTAAAAAAAACCTCAGTGGAGTCCCTTTAATACCAGAAATCTGCATAGGTTTTTTTGTAATTGTATCACATAACATGTATGCCTTTACACTGGTAGCATTTTAGTATCATGTTGTTTATTATTAAAGCTGCACGCCTCCAGATGAGCCAAAATATTTCAAGAAAATCAATATTGAGAGAAATGTATTTAAATTTTAAGAAAGGTAAAAACATTCAAGATCCAAGTTATATTTTAAATGTTATGGCGGTTTAAGACTGATTCTTCAGTATTTTATTACCATATTTCTACTGAGTTACTAACGCAGTCAGGACGGTTTTTGCATTTGTTGATCATTATTTGTGGTAATTTTCGTGGATTGTAAGTGCCGATTGCAATATATAAATTACTATATTTGTTCACCTCACAATATTTTACTTTCAAACACATTTCCAAAATTTCCATAAATTAACATGAATCTGGAGGCGTGCTGCTTTAATAAAAATCAACATAGACCCTACAAAGTTTTAAAACTAAATTGAAAAGATATTTCATACCATTTCCTTTATTCTTTACAGCTGAATCATACAGATATTTCCTAATTTAAGACTGATATTGAAATGGTTTTGTTCTATATCAAACAATAGTTTTATTATATCACTAACAGTTTACCATTAACACATACACACAAATTCTAATCTAAATTAAGACTATGACTGATCAAAAGTTTTGGCTGATTAAAACATGTACATCAATACTGAAGCAGGTTTATCTCAACTCTTGTGATTAATCAATCTAGATCAGTTCAATATCTATCTTCTGTTGAATATCATTATCATCATAAATATATTTCCATCAAATCACAGATTGCACAAAGGGTTTTTTCTCATCACATGATCTATATACAGCATGTGATTGGACAAATGTATCACATGACCAATATACAGCATGTGATTGGATAATGATGTCATATGACACATATGTGAGTGGTTTATTCCAAGGCTCCATGGTTATTTTCTGGGGCTCCTCAGACTTGACTTTGATGCCGAGCTGCCCCCCTGTCTCGACTTCCTGGGTGTGCTCGACTGTATGGGTCTGCAAGTTAAGAAAATTGGTAAATGAAATTATATTCCTTCATATTCCTCCTGTGTAAGCAGCTTATGTCTAATTTGTATTTTTAAAAATTGTTTGAAGAGTATAAAAGCTTATAATATCATTAAATGATAAAACTATTGTTAGTAAAATACTGTTAATGAAATGATTAAACCATTCTTTAGTGTTTAGTACCATTAAACGACCATCGTTACACTTCCCTTACATATGACTGATATCTGTAGAATCTAAATATACATTATGTTCCTTTTTATTTTCAGATGTCTTTTTTGCCCCTATGAATCCTTACATTAAACTAAAACTCTGGGGGACAAAAACTTTGCAGTCAACATTTTTTTATATTCAAATGCTCTTAACTAAAAAGTTGCTTTTGGCCAACAGTTGACTGTGTATACTAGTATATGTTGTAGACTTGACAAAGTCAAGACAGAAAGTTCAGACTTCCCATTCATTTGCATTTCAAAACAATCAAAGAGCTATTTCATAAACAGTAACAAAATCACCTCAAAAGCATGCTTTTATCTGAATTAAAAATGGCTATGGCAGTATAGAATGTCAAGAAAAACCACATAGCTTTCATAATTGCCAACTGTTTAATTTCTTCACTTGGGAAGGATTAAATAATCCTAGCAGGGTTCAAACCCTCAGGAGTGAAGAAACAAGAGGGTCATGATGGCCCTGAAATCGCTCACCTGTATAAAGGCCAGGGGCTTTTATTTGAACAAACATGGTAAACACCCATTAGAAGATAAATATCTAAGCTCTAGCACTTTGGGGTTTTTAAAAAATGATTTTTTAAGTTTTCACTATACACATGTAGGGATAAACAATGACCAATGACACCCCCCCCCCCCCCATGACGGGACCAAGGGCTTTTATTTGAACAAACTTGGTAGACACTCATTAGAAGATATTTCATGCTTAGTATCTTACCTCTAGCTCTTAGGGTTTCTTTAGGTTTTTTAAAAAAAGGTTTCTTAAGGTTTTACTATACATATATAAGGAAAATCAATGACCCCGGGGTGGGGCCAATTTTAACCCCAGGGCCCTTATTTGAACAAACTTGGTAGTCACTCATTAGAAGATGTTTAATGCTTAATATCTTAGCTCTAGCTCTTAGGATTTTTAAAAGAAGATTCTTTAAGTTTTTACTTTATATATAAAGGGAAAAACAATGACCCCCTGGGGCGGGGCCAATTTTGACCCCAAGGTTTTTATTTGAACAAACTTGGTAGACACCTACTAGACAATGTTTCATGCCAAATATTTAAGCTCTAGCTCTTAAGGTTTTTTAAAAGAAGATATTTTAAGTTTTTTCTTTCAGTTGCCATGGCAGCCAGAATTCTGCATGGAATTAAATTCTTTGAACAATTTTTAAAGTTGACTACCAACGGAACATTCCTGTTAAGTTTGGATGAAATTGGCATAGTGGTTTATGATGAGATGTTGTTAAAGGTAAAAGTTGAACGGACGCCGGACAAAAAGCGACCACAAAAGCTCAACATGTCACTTTGTGACAGGTGAGCTAAAAAGGGGCAAAATTAGCAATCAAACTATCAGGACATGGAGGCCACTAAAACTACATGAGAAACAAGAATACAGTAGTTGATGCACTTACAGTGGTTTCTTGTACATAGACATAGCATAAGAGAAAACTCATAATATACCTAACAGTTACCTTATTTTGCATGCTTTTCAAAATCGTACAGAAACCCTCAAAACAAAAACTTTAAGTCATAATGGAGAAGAAACTCCTAATATAAACAACTTATTCATAACCAAAATAAAACAAGACATTAAAAAATTTCCCACTGAAAAAACACCTCACCTGAAGCTATGTATATCTATAAATAAGGGGAAAGACAGAGAAATAAGTAAGCACCTAAGATTGTACTAAGGCTAACTAAAACCAAAACAGAAAACAGGTGATACCACTTTATAAAAGATTTTAAATATTTATTGGTTTTCCTCAAATGACGTCAAATGAAAACCTATAACCAAAGCTAAAACAGGAAAAAAATCCTAGCTTCTAGTCATCAATAATGAAGTTCTAGAATTTACTCAGAGCATAAATAAATACTTCTATGAATAATTAACCAATATTCACATTGAAATCAAAGAAGGCACAAAGTATTGAAATTTTATCTTCTATTTTGTAGTTTATTAGATAAATAGTCACTTAACATGTAAAACAAAAACCTATTTTTAGCAAAATTCTTTTTATTCCTCGTAAAAGAAAAACTTAAAGATATATACATGTATGTGAATTTGAAATTTAGAGATTTGAAATACTGCATGCAAATTCTAGAGTTAAATATTGACAACTCAGTCCATTTTTAACCATTACATCTACAACGCTTAATTACTGATCTAAAATAAAAATTACATCTGCATATAAAATGAAAAGCATGAATATTTACAATAAATTACAACACTTAATGAAAAATTCTAAGCTGAAAAGGGCCATAACTCCAACATATTGCCCCTTGTCTAAGAACTGCAACTTTTAAATTGTTTGAGTAATGGGCTACATTAAAGTTTTTGATGATGTCAACAACTATCTCAAAGCGTTGATAACAGCTTGACTTTTTAATGAAAATAGACAAGCTTAAAAAAACAAACTTTAACCACTCACTTATCTTTCTTATTCAAAGCAAAGTGCTCCAAGTTAAACCATTTTTAACAAGTATTGCCACATGACATTGTCTTGTTGAAATGACCTTTTAAACTAATAAATTCCTTTCCTTTGAAAATACCTCAAAAACTGGATAAACTTCATAAATAATATCAAAAATATTTACTGTTTTGAAAAAACTTCCATTCATTATGCAACAATATCAGCACAAAAAATCTTTTACCCTTACTTGTAACTGGTTGAATTTTTGGTAAAACAAGATTTGCCATGCTTTGAATTTGGAACGGTCCATTTTAAGTCAAAGGGACTTAATTAAAATACAAAAATTAATTTCTTTGTAAGCAATCAAATTTTGAAAATATTTTACAGTTTGTAGAAAAGGTCATTTACTATCAAGACAAATATCCATACACAAAAGAAAAAAAAAGACAATAAAACATCAGAAAGCTGAACAACAGAATAAACTAAAGAAAGCAAGAAGAGCCCTTACCCTGCTTACTATCATCATGCTCTGATGGATTGGAACCCATGGGTGGGGGACTTCTAAGATGAGGAGGTGGGGGACGGGGAAATGGGGGCCTTGGTCCCCGGGGCGGAGGATATCTATCAAATGATGGTGGTGACCTTCTGTCTGGCGGAAATGGTGGTCTGATGGCATATGGAGGGGGTGACATGGCATCTAATGGAGGGGGTGGGGGTCGCGGCCCCATTGGTCCTGGAGGAAGTCTGCGGTCTGGATGGGGTGGCAATCTTTCTGGTCCAATAGGAGAAGCTCTGTAATCATCATCTCTGGAAACAAAAACTCAACAAATTAACATTTTGTGTTTTAAAAAGTTTAAGTAAATGTATTCAAAGAAATTGATTTGTTATGCAATGTCTCAATTTTCTTTTTTTTCGAAAGTTCAGGTAAAGATAACCTAAGTAAAAATTTTAATTTATATGATTTTTATATATCTAACATACATTCACACAGTGCTTTAAAGTTCATATATCATCATAACAGTCATAACTTTATAGCATATAACTTTTTTTCATTTTCTATACTTAAAAAAGTATCAAATATTGGAAATGACAGAACTTCAAACAAAATAAATAAATAAATAAATAAAATTCATTCAAAATTATATGTTATAACTCTTTTTATATGTAGTGGTGACTTGTTATTATGAATGGTTTTAATTCAATATACTCTTTTATAAGCTATACTGAATACATAGTTTGAGTAAATAAATACATAGATACATAACGACCAATCCTGTTAACTAAATTGTTACATTTTAATTCTATATACCGAGGCCTTTTTAAACTTTACATGACTATATTCCCTTGAAAACCATTACTATATGTACGTGTATATCCAGCGACCACCATTCAACATAAGCTGTCCAGCTAGATATTTAAACATATATCATAACATATTTTCATGCTTTTTATTTCAATTTGTTGGTTTTATCTGGTTTTATTTATGCCAGTTTAACACATTGCTTTCCAGGATAATTAACCAGTAATTTGCAATTTTTTCCGCAAGTGACTGACAACTGATTTCAAATGATTTCTGAATCACCGGTGCAAGACATCCGCGCAGTCTGATCAGGATCCATGCTGTTCGCTATCAGTTTATTTACTCATTTATATGTCTATTTATAGTAACATACGTCATTATTCGGTTTACACATTTTTAGTACTTCAGTAATCATTTTTCTTTGAAATGTATCCTGATGAAGGTCTTGAAAGACCGAAACCGGTAGATCCTAGAATAAACCAGTTATAAACCATCCTGATGTTTGATGTGTATTCTCTCCTTCCTTTGATTTACTAGTTTATTTACTTGTTATAGGGTCTGTAAGGGAACAGCATGGATCCTGATCAGACTGCGCGGATGCGCAGGCTGGTCTGGATCCATGCAGGTCCCAAACCCATTCTGTTGGTGTTGTCGTGACACGGCTCAAATGTTCTCCCTGGGGAGCTAAGTGAGCGGACACATATTTTCATGCTTCTTGACACTGGTGTTATCAGCAAATAAAAGCATTTTTTTAGCACCTACACAAGTCTTGTTAATTTCTTTGATTATTTTATTTATTAATTCCAGCACATTTTCATAGCATAATTAATTCTATAATGGCAACTTTTTAAACTTTTATAGTAGAGCATGACCTTAATTAACCCTCTGTATAAGAGGCAATCACCTGTGAAGACCCAATGATATATATACTGTAAGGTCAGCTTCCTCATTTAAAAGATTTCAAAGCTTCTGGAGAGACAGCCTAACCATTTCAGATTAAATGGTTCAACACATTTTACAGACTGTTTTTTTTTTCCTACAGTTAAACCATTGCAAAAAGACATCACCTGTCCAATATTTATACCTCAATGTTTTTTTGACAAGTCTAATTTGTTGGAAAATTTGAAGAAATCAAACCAACAGTAGTGAGGGAAAAGTTGTCAGTCAATCACCTTTACCACTTCGCTAAACATGCTCTCTTACCTACTTATCAATATGTTACTTTCAAAGAGCACATTGCCACAAATTAACTATCTGAATACAGATCTATATTTAGATGACATTCTGTGTAATACATACATAATGTTTACATATAGATAAGATTTGGTGAATCTCTTATACTAGCCGACACCTCTCTATATACATGTATATAATAACCTGCTGGTACCTCTTTAATTGACATTAATTTCATCATTATCTTTCCTTATTACTTAAAATAAGAGGAAAATGGAGAAGTACAGCACATCAACATGTTCCTAACTACATGTATTTATATACAAATAAAAATGGAAAAATAATTGTTTTAATAAAACAAATTTTTTGAAGAAACCCCGAAAGTTAGGGAAAAACATTGATTAACTTACATCATTATCATCAAAATATAGTTATAGTTCTTGATGTATGAATTTTTCAGTTGCAAAATGATTTGATGACGTAAAAGACTTCACAATTTAACGAGGGGCCAAAAAAAAAAAGAACACCATGAATAAGCAAATTGTAGACAAGTCTAAAAATATAACTCTTGTATCAAATTTAATTATGATGAATATTCATATGTTGCATGTAAAGCATATTTATTAATAGATGACTCTTAAAGACAATTTTGTACCTTTATTTTTAAAATTTGAAAATTCTAGATAAGTTCAGTATGTAGAAAATTTTTTTGTTAAAGAAGGGTATCAAACGTGGGGACTTTTTGCGCACTCGAAAACACATGAATTATCAGTGCAGTAAACAAAATCAGGGGTAACAGCAGTAATATTAGTGAGTTAGTATAGCAAACCTAAGCCGTGGGGTTACATGTCCATGCACTGACCCTCGTGATCCTGGTCTCTCTGGGGGCGGGGGTGGTGGTGGACCATTCAGCATACCTACAAATATATAGGTAAATCTTAAAGATTAATTTTTCACAGTTTTTGCATCATTTATTTATATTCTTCACAAATATAAATGTAGCTAAAAGCTTTAACTGACATGTAATGTAGAAAAGAATTCACTCATATATTATTATCTGAACAAGATAAACAATTGCTCCTATTGTCATATCAAACATACCTAAGCTATCCCTAATATTTTAAGTATGAATGACATATCCCGACATATGAAAAGTAGTCACTTAAATTCTGATACATGTATAGAACAATAGAGAAAAACAGAATCCCTAAAGAAAGTCCAACACAACAAAATTGAAAATGTTGCAGGCTCGGTTTGATTGAGCCTGTTCATGGACGGTACTGGAAAGTGCAAGTTACCGTCCACGCCCCCTAGCACCGGCTTAAGCAGAATTCAACATTTAACACGAAAATGGTGAAATTTTGAATTTAGAAACATCCGCAGATGTGTTCATACGGCGGTTATCATGGAACCTTCAATGTGACACAGTAGTGCCATTCCATGAAAAGCGGCGTATGGTCCCCAAGTAAAAGAATGCTTTTGCCCTAAACGAGAAAACAATGGGCGGAACTAAATAAAATGGAATTTTGAAAGGGGATCTGAAAAACTCAGATACATGTCTTTACAAGCATACTCTGACCTTGACCTCTAACACAAAAGAGATTTATTCTAGCCATTACATTTTATCTATAAATATTGAATCTAGATGTTAAAAGGAAAGTTTTAATTTTCCTTTTCTTTTCTTTGTGGTCTTAGACTACTGACCAGGTGGTGGCATTGCTCTGTGTGTAATTGGACGTATCAAACCAGGTGGCGGGCCCTGCATTAATTTTCTTTCAAGGTCTGTTAATCTGAAAATAAACAAATACAGACAAGTCTTAATCAGCAAATCCAACAAACACGAAAAACATTATTGTGAACATTTCGAAATTCAAATTTTATTTAAGAGGAGCGAAGCTTGATTTCTATTTTCATTTCATCTGCTGAAATTTAAAATCTAGCATTGGTCATGACTAAGTTTCCACATAAGATAGCCCATTACTCATAGGTCAAACCAATCCTCATAAGATAGACAATTTCTCAATAAACAGGGCATTCCTCAGAAAAAAGACCATTCTTTATAGGGCATTACATTCCTCCACAAGCAATGGTTTCTAATTATGAAATACAGATAACCGAATGCAGAATTACCAACTTTGATGCAAAATTCAATGTTAGAATAGTGCTAATGCAATTTTTCCACGTGCATTAACATCTGCAGAAGCCCTCAGATTTATAAAATCACTTGCACTGCTAGCTCAGGATTTAAATGCATCCTTGTGCTTTAAAATTTGCAGACATTAAAAGGAACGGTAATAAAGATGTTACTGAAATGTCTTACTTTTGTCGCAGCATTCCACACTCGTGTCTTGACTCCTTCAACTCCCTTTCTGCTGCCCTTGTTGCCAACTACATAAAAGAAAAAATATCATTACAAGTACTTGCATACATTAGTAAAACAACAAAACATAAATGAACTCCAATATGAAGACAAAGACATGTCATTTACTTTAAGATAAATAAACTACACATAATTATCGCAGCATAGCATGAATGTAACTGCCAAAATATAAAATGATACAACATTAAGAAGGAAAAAAAAGTCAATTTCAACATCATGTTGTTTCATCCAATCATTTGAAATCATCTCCAAATGTAATTAGAGCTAATATTCTAAAAGAAAACCAAAGTTATGTCTATAACTATAAGTTATGCCCGTATGATAGTTAGTTCCTTAAACTGAATCAATCAAACCAAGTCTGATATTTTCTATGCCTTCAGAAAATAGAGGACTTCTTATAACATACTTTTGTTTTAAAGTGTTCAACTTACCCAGTTTTCATGAGCTTTCTTCTCATTGGCTGCAATCTACAATGAGCAATAAAACATATTAATAATACGAAAATATATTGTCATATACAAATGCATTTATACAGTAAAACCTGTATTACAGACCACGTCCACATAAAGATCTCCCTGTTTATAAAGGCAATTATTCAACAACTCTTAATTGATAAAAAAAACAACAGAGTAACCATCAAACAAAGACCACTTGTTTTTTAAGGTAATATTTGGTCTCTCAGTGGCCTTTGTTTACAGGTTTGTCTGTTGCATATCAATATTTTTTTTAAATTTGAAATCAATAAGGTATGCACTGCATCACTCAAGATTTTTCAAAGGCCAAATTTTATCCTTTGTTATACAAATTAATTAATTTCTTTATTTTAATTCATTAAAAGTTCTGTTACACTATGCATAGACAATCTAGAAACTGGAAACACACAAAATAGGAAAATCAAGCAGACTATCAAATGACAAATTATTAACATATTTAGGTTTACATTTTACCTGTGACCTGAAGTCTCTTTCTGCCTTGGAAATTTCTGTCTTGAGATCGTCTATTTGTTGCCTATAAAAAACATATAGAACTCTATTGAAACAATTGTTGCACTATAACAAAGGGGGAAAAACAAACTAAAAATAAGCTGATTTTAAAAACCCAACTGTAACTTTTAAAGACATAAAATTCAAATTTCTTATTATACTCATAGTATAAATTTACATGCAAAATATTGTTCTTGTTTTACCTATAGGTTTCATTTTCTTTTGCAAGTTCTTGAGTAATGCTGTCTGATGACTGAAGTTTGGATATATTTTGGTTCTTTAGCACCTCTTGTTCACCTAGTTGCCTGGAAACAGAATTATTAAATAAATTTACAATTTCTCACCAAAAATGATATGGTTGCTGACAAACATTGCTACATCAAGATCATGTAAATCAATCCATGTAATTGTTGACAAAAAAAAGTTTAATGTACATAAGCAATTTGTGGAATGCTTTTTTCTAAAAATACAAAATATTACAGTATATAATATTGTTTTTGAGATCATAACTTAAGATCATAGGTGCCTTTCAGAATATTCTTTTAAATTTTCCTAAAATAATAAAAATTTCAAATGATTGGCATGTGAAAGGAAAAAACAATGATTTTTTTCCCATAAAATATAAATATTCATTAACCTGGTTAACTCCGCCTCTTTTTCCTTAAAATATTTAGATAACACCTCTAATTTAGTTTGAGCCTCCTGACACTGTCGCTCCGCCTTCATCTTATCTGTCTGATTACTCTCAAACTTACGCTTAAGTAACTGAACCTGGTCTGAAATAATACAAGTTATCATTTCATGCATAAATTCAGTAAAACATGTCTCACATCTCACTTTTTTAAACAATAAATGTAGTTAACAAAGCTTTCATCATTCATTTTTGATCTTCAAATTGTACATTCAATTATATGTCAGTTTATCCTAATGTACAGAATATATAACATGCAATAGGAATAGATTCAATCTATCTCTGAGTATATTTCTTAACTACTTTTAGCATTTATTTCTATTTTAAATGCCCAAGCTGATCTATGTATGAAATTAAAATTTTAAGTTTTAGACTTTTGGACCTCAGTGGAGTTCCTTCAAAATGCTAAAGCAGTAAAGTTGACAGTATGAAGTTTGGTCCTACTGCAAAAGTAGATAAGGTGACCTTGCTTTATACTAGTAGCATTGTCAAATTATCATCATTCCTAGTGTTTAAAGGTGTAATGTTCACAATAAATTATCACAATGATGATGTTACCTTCTAACTCTTTTCGGGACTCAACTTCTATGAGAAGTTTATTTTGTATAACATCTCTCTCCTCCTCTACAGAACGTAATGATGCATTTACCTGCAAACATAAAATGGTATTAATAATCCTTATTATAACCCTCACTATTTCTGTCACATTATTTTCCCATAAGCCAATAGGAGTAATTCTTACTGTTAATTTGAGAGTACTAAAATTTTTAAACTAGAACTGTGTCCAAAGGACACGGATGCCCCCACTGACAACATATATATGGTATATGGTGAAAAAATCAACAAAGGGCCATAATTCTGTTAAATTTGGTCGCAGCAAAAATTCCTTTCTTTACTAACATCTACACATTAAGGTTGTTCATCCCTGGAAGTTTAAGCAAAATCTGCCATCCGGTTTAAAAGGAGTTGCCTTCACAAAATTTCTACATAGTATATAGTGAAAAAATCAACAAAGGGCCATAATTCTCTTAAATTTGGTCGCAGCGAAATTTCCTTCCTTTACTTCCATCTACACGTTAAGTTTGTTCATCCCTGGAAGTTTAAGCAAAATCTGCCGTCCGGTTTAAGAGGAGTTGCGTTCACATGATTTCGGGATGTACTGACCGACGGAAGGACGGACCGATGGACGGACATGTGCAACGCTATATGATCCCCACTTTGTGGGAGCATAAAAATCTAAAGTTACAGAAGGTAAATAACACAAGGGTACAATATCCATTGTTAATGCTTGTCTGTTAAAACAACCATTTTGACAAAAATTCTAAGTTAAAAAGGTGCATAACCGAAATATATAGCTTTTAGAATTAAGTTCCTTGCCTTATTATGCCCCTTGTCTAACAACTTCACCTTGTCAAGATAAGAAAGTATTCCAAGTTTCATGTTAAAATTTTGAAAAAAGTTTACATAATGGGCTACATTAAAGTTTTTGCATGAAAACAACGATAACAATGACAATGACACAGCCATCATAATAACACAAATTTCCTTCGGAACAGACAAGCTAAAAATTAAAGTCCATGTTAGTGTTATGGACCTCCATCAGATGAGTTTCACTTGAAATTCTAAATACACATGAAATAAACAATGGAAAAGTTTTGTGGTAGTTAAAGCATATCCTCAATCACAAACTTTCTAAATTTACAGAGGTATACAAAAGCTATGTATAATTCATTCAGTAAGTCTTATTTGTTTTGGACACTATAATGCCCAGGGTACATTGCATGAGTGCAGTTTGAATGAATGTCTTCAGTGTAAATGACATATGAAGTTACTTATAAAACTTTAACCTTAAAGTGTTACTCCAATGGCTATGCTAATAAAATTGCCAAGCAAATCTTTTAATAGTCAAGCAAGAAACTGAAGTAACAGTAACTTATGACTTATTCTAACAGGACCTGAATTTTTCCCTATTGAACATAGAAGCACCTAAAGTGTGTATTATTATGCAATAAAATCACTGTTTACATTCTATATTTAGTCATGAGACTTAACAATTAAACATGTAACATAACCACTAAAAATGTGGCACGCTGAAAATAAGTACTGAAACCAATCAGGTGAACTTAACTTAACATCAGCTAATAATGGCAGCAATGATTTGTAGATGTCCTGTTTGAATCGAAATAATATATTCAAATCGGCTTTGCCCTCGTGATATAATTCCTCGCATTCAAACTCCAAACAGTGATTTTATTTAGCAATAAAATCACGGTATGGGATATATTATTTCTTAAATTACCAATGAGTATTCTCTTTCAATATAAAGACATAGTTAATATATTATTACCCTGGATACGTCCATCATCTGTTTAAGCTTTTCACCGAGATCAGGAGCATCCTCTGAAATATTACATAACATATGATTATGAGATAATGTGAAAATCTTAATCTTAGCTTTAAAATCATCTTGTCAAACTTAAAAAAAAACTCTCAGCATTATTATCATCTTCATACAGTGCATGTATTGTGATACAATTTTACTCTGAAAAAACAAAACAAAACTTAACATAACTCTATAACATTTCATATTCAATTATCAATATCATTGTCATTTTCTTGAGTAAATGCTCAAATAATATACTAATATATCAGAGAAAAATGAATGAAGCAAAACAAGCCATATACCTGCATCCTCTTTCATCTCTTCTTCACCCTGGAATGCTTTAACTTGTAGGAAACAATCTCTTAGCACCTGCCATCATAAATATACATATTACAATATACAGTTGCGTTCAGCTAAAGTCGCTTGATACAAATAAGATATAGAGAGAAAATGATCGGGGAGATTGAAGAGCGGGGAGAAATGATGAGGGGTCGCATAAGACAAAAATCGCTTAATACGCGTGGTTGCACGGGCAAGTTAGACTGTATAATATTCTATAAGCATAAAAATGCCTGGTCATTCCACCAAAAAGATTTGTTAATGCACTTGTTACTCATATAAAGTATCAAAATTGTATATTACTTCAACTGATTATGAGTGTAATATGACCGATTATGAGTTAGGAGCCCAGGGCCCAAAACTCAAAATCATAATCGGCCTGCTGAACACAAGTACATGTACAAACTGTAACACTGACATCACAAATTAACAGGCCAATAAACATCAGGTGTGATGCAGTAACCAATTTTTATCATGAATGCTGAGGTGTATTTCATAACAATTTTGACTGACTGACAAAGTCTTTCAAGCTATAACAGACTGATAACCTGATTTCTTCCCTTAAGATCCTTTAAATCTTACTATAAAAATATAAACAATATCATCATTTTTCCATTAAAAAATTGCCTCTTCTATATCCAACCAATGGTTTAATTGGTCAGTAAATTTTAAGAATAACCAATGGTTTAATTGGTCAGTAAATTTTAAGAATAAGTAAGAATATTGTTACAAAAGACCCTTTAAAAGTAAAAGTTTTCAAGATGCTTTTAAAAGATAATAAAAGCTCCATGAATAAGCATAGAAAGAATGTTAAACTTGTTGACATAATAAACCAGAAATAATAAACAACCATAGTCAGTTTTCATGCTAAACTTCAACAAAAATTCATTATGAAAAAGTAAACTTAGTTTTATCATGCCTACGGAACAAAAAGTTAGCCTTTCCACAAAACCAACTGATTATAAGTTTTAAAGAAACTCTTCAGTTTATTTGTTAAGATGGTAGACACAATAATCACATGTCCAGTCCAACAGTTCAAAGTTAGGCCAGTCAGCATATTCATTTTTGTAGGCTACATTTTGACCATACCCCATATTGTTAGCCATTTTAATATTAATTAGTTTCTTTTTCTGGTTTTAATGCAGATGTAGTCACATTATATCTCAGTAGTCAATCCACCTAACAGGCGTTTCCAGGATAACTAACCAGTAATTAACAATTTCTCCACAAGTGACAGACAACTTATCTCCACAACACTTTTGAATCAGCATTGAGAGACAAATGAACATTAAACTGAACGTTTAAGATCAATTAAGCTCAAGCTGAGTATGATAGCATACTTTCAAAATTAAAATCCCCTAAACTACTAATGGACTATTCCAAAATCAAACTAGGGAAACTCCAATGCACATATTTGGCACGGTACAAGCTAAAAATCTTTTGATTTTATCAAATAAATGAATTGAAGAAAAAAAATAGTCAAGCATTCCTTAGCAGTGTAAAAGTTAAATTTTTCCTCCATAAATGTTAAAACTTGAAAATTGAGATAACCACAAAAAAGCAGAACATCAAAATTACCTCATTGCTTGTTGTGCACTGTTTGAATGAAATATCAACTTTTTCATAACATTTCTAAACTAGAACTGCCACTATCATGGCATGAATACCCCCGCATACCACTTTGTCAGAATCAACAGTGGCCATTTAGAGCTCAAGGACAACCTCCCTGCCAAATCTGAGGTTACTAAGCCAGTGCATTGCTAAGTTATGTATTCTACATGCTTCAAATGTGAAAATGTCAAAATCAATACATTGCGGACAGGACATACTTTAGCAATTGAGAAAAAAAGCTTTTTTTTATCAAGGTCCCTGTGACCTTGACCTTTGACCCAGTGACCTCAAAATCAATAGGGGTCACCTTATAGTCATGACAAACATCCATGCCAAATATGAAGACTGTCGGTCAAAGGAATCTATTGGGCAGACAAACTTTTTGAAGTCAAAGTCCCCGTGACCTTGACCTTTGACCTGGTGACCTCAAAATAAATAGGGGTCATCTACTAATCATGACTAACCTCAATGCCAAATATGAAGACTGTGGGTCAAAGGAATCTTAAGTTACTGGGCGGACAAGCTTTTTGAAGTCAAGGCCCCTGTGACCTTGACCTTTGACCTAGTGACCTCAAAATCAATAGGGGTCATCTACTAATCATGACTAACCTCCATGCCAAATATGAAGACTAAGGGTCAAAGGAATCTTAAGTTATTGGGCAGACAAGCTTTTTGAAGTCAAGGCCCCTGTGACATTGACCTTTGACCTAGTAATCTCAAAATCAATAGGGGTCATCTACTAATCATGACTAACCTCCATGCCAAATATGAAGACTGTGGGTCAAAGGAATCTTAAGTTATTGGGTGGACAAGCTTTTAGAAGTCAAGGCCCCTGTGACCTTGACCTTTGACCTAGTGACCTCAAAATCAATAGGGGTAAACTACTAATCATGACTAACCTCCATGCCAAATATGAAGACTAAGGGTCAAAGGAATCTTAAGTTATTGGGCAGACAAGAAACAAGAGGGCCATGATGGCCCTGAGGTCGCTCACCTGTATATAGGCCCCCCAACCCCCCCCCCCCCCCAACATTGCAGGGTCAATTTAACCCAAGGGCTTTTATTTGCACAAACTTCGTAGACACCCATAAGAAGATGTTTCATGCTAAACATCTAAGCTCTAGCTCATTGGGCTTTTTAAAAGAAGATTTTTTAAAAGTTTTTACACATATAGTTAAAAACAATGACACCCCTGGGGCCGGGCCAGTTTTGACCCCAGGGCTTTTATTTGAACAAACTTTGTAGACACTTACTAGAAGATTTTCATGCTTAATATCTAAACTCTAGCTATTTGGGTTTTTTCAAAGAAGATTTTAAGTTTTTGCTATACACATATAAAGAAAATCAATGATCCCTGGGGCGGGGCCAATTTTGACCCTAGGTCTTTTATTTGAACAAACTTTGTAGACACTCACTAAAAGATGTTTCATGCTTAATATCTTAACTCTAGCTCTTTGGGTTTTTTCAAAGAAGATTTTTTAAGTTTTTGCTATACACATATAAGGAAAATCAATGACCCCCGGGGCGGTGCCAATTTTGACCCCAGGGCTTTTATTTGAACAAACTTGGTAGACACCTATTAGAACATGTTTGATGCTAAATATCTTAGCCATAGCTCTTTGAGTTCTTTAAAAGAAGATTTTTTAAGTTTTTACTATATGCATATAGGGAAAATCAATGACCCCCCGGGGCGGGGCCAATTTTGACCCCAGGGCTTTTATTTGAACAAACTTGGTAGACACCCATTAGAACATGTTTCATGCTAAATATCTTAGCTCTAGCTCTTTGGGTTCTTTAAAAGAAGATTTTTAAAGTTTTTACTATATGCATATAGGGAAAATCAATGACCCCCTGGGGCGGGGCCAATTTTGACCCCAGGGCTTTTATTTGAACAAACTTGGTAGACACCTATTAGAACATGTTTGATGCTCAATATCTTAGCCATAGCTCTTTGAGTTCTTTAAAAGAAGATTTTTTAAGTTTTTACTATATGCATATAGGGAAAATCAATGACCCCGGGGCGGGGCCAATTTTGACCCCAGGGCTTTTATTTGAACAAACTTGGTAGACACCCATTAGAACATGTTTCATGCTAAATATCTTAGCTCTAGCTCTTTGGGTTCTTTAAAAGAAGATTTTTAAAGTTTTTACTATATGCATATAGGGAAAATTAATGACCCCCCGGGGCGGGGCCAATTTTGACCCAAGGGCTTTTATTTGAAGAAACTTGGTAGACAGTCACTAGAAGATGTTTCATGCCAAATATCTAAGCTCTAGCTCTTATGGTTTTTTAAAAGAAGATATTTAAAGTTTTTTCTTTCGGTTGCCATGGCAACCAGAGTTCTGCATGGAATTAAATTCTTTGAACAATTTTTAAAGGTGACCACCAAAGGAACATTCCTGTGAAGTTTGGATGAAATTGGCTTAGTGGTTTATGAGGAGATGTCATTTAAAGTAAAAGTTTACGGACGGACGACGGACGGACGACGGACGGACGCCGGACGAAAAGCGATCACAAAAGCTCACCCTGTCACTTTGTGACAGGTGAGCTAAAAACCGACGGACAGCTGGACGGACGGACGGCCGGACGGACAGACAAGCTGATTCCAGTATACCCCCCTTACAACTTTGTTGTGCGGGGGTATAATAATATTGGCATTTACACATATATGTTCATGAATACATGCACTTTAATATTATGAACCCTTTAAATGCTTTCAGCTTATATGAAAGGCCTATGCCAGTAATATGAAACCAGGCTATACCTAAGATATGTGAAGTCTAATTAAACTCTGTCCTATTGGCTGCTAGATTTTACATCTTCATATAAAGAAATCCCAAAGAGTTACAATGGATTGTTCCAAATTCAAACTAGGGCGAGTTCATTATACACAGGAAAGTTTAAACAGTTAAACAAACAAGAGCTGTCGGTAGGACAGCAACGCTCGACTATTCTTAGTGCTTGATAGTAAAAAAAATGCTTGATACTCCTCCTGTTTACAGGTTGGGGTCATGATGGTGAACAAGTGTGCAAAGTTTCAAAGCCATATGTCAATGGACTTTGAAAATATTTGAACTATTACAAAAACTTTAACGTAAATTCTAAGTCAAAAAAGGGGCATAATTCTGTCAAAATGCTTGATAGAGTTACCTCCTCCTGTTTACAGGTTGGGGTCATGATGTTGAACAAGTGTGCAAAGTTTCAAAGCCATATGTCAATGGACTTTGAAAATATTTGAACTATTACAAAAACTTTAACGTAAATTCTAAGTCGATTAAGGGGCATAATTCTGTCAAAATGCTTGATAGAGTTTCCTCCTCTTGTCTACAGGTTGGGGTAATGATGGTGAACAAGTGTGCAAAGTTTCAAAGCCATATGTCAATGGACTTTGAAAATATTTGAACTATTACAAAAACTTTAACGTAAATTCTAAGTCGAAAAAGGGGCATAATTCTGTCAAAATGCTTGATAGAGTTACCTCCTCCTGTCTACAGGTTGGGGTCATGATGGTGAACAAGTGTGCAAAGTTTCAAAGCCATATGTCTATGGACTTTGAAAATATTTGAACTATTACAAAAACTTTAACATAAGTGGTTACGCCGACGCCGACGCTCGGGTGACTGCAATAGCTCTACTTATTCTTATCGAATAGTCGAGCTAAAAACAATAAGTATCTTTCTAAAATGGCATGCCTATGCTCCAGTATCTTTTTATTTGTACTCATAAAGCACATGCTATTCAGTGTGAAGCATGTCACAATCACGTTGGTGTTAATTCACACAAAATGCAAATGAACATTTAAATGCTTACCTCTAATTCATTTTCTTTAAATGCTAAATCTTCTTGCATTCTCTTAGCATCTGAAGAAAACTGTTCCACTTGCTCAGTGAGATCTGTAACTCTGTAAAAATTGTAAGACAGAGATGAGTTTAATGTAAGTGTTAATGACATCATAATGTCAGAAAATGATAATGATATCATAATGCCAGAAAATGACAAAGGAAAATGGCAAAATTATTGTATGATATACTATTTTTGGAAGGCTATACTGTTTATAATTACAGAGGCCAAAGAACGAAAATATCCATGCATTCTGTCTCAATTGATGCTATTTTAGCAAACCAGAACAAAAATATGCATAAAGTAATCAATTTCTTGAATGCAATTTTATGGAAATTCAATAAAATAACAAATTTGTGAGCTTGTTATAATTCAGGGCTCAAGCTAGGTTCAAAATTTAGGGAGAAGTCACTTCTCCCTCCAGCTGCTTTAGGGAGAAGTGGGGAGACTTTAGGGAGAAGTGAGGAGATTCATTTATCGATGTTTGTTGTATGTTATTGCAATTATGTTGACTCACTGTACATATCTTATTCAATGAATTGGATTTGTGTTACAACAGAATATTCAATTTTAATTTAAAAGTAGTTTGAAACAAGTAATAAGAATGAGTATCATGTAATGCAACCATTGCATTTAATGAAGATAAAAAAGCCATAGTTGACTCCTATCATGGATCATATCATGGGTGGATTAACAGTTATTCCCTTCTGATTTACTATTAAAAAGCTTGCGCAGGACATTATATTCATATTCACTTATGTTGTTAAGAAAATGAAAGTAGATAGCGCCGGACATTATATTCATATTCACTTATGTTGTTAAGAAAATGAAAGTAGATACGATCTTTAATTTAACTTCATTTGTAATAAATACAGTGTAATATGCCGTCAATTTTATCAAATTTAACTCGTCGACAAAAAAGGTTATCATAACTTTCATTTAAAATTACCGTTACAGTTATATGTCGAGCAGTCCTCTTAATTCTTACAATCATTCGATAGTGAAAATTTAATTGACGTTTGATCCGTCCATCATAAATAATTGTTACGGGTAGTTGTATGTTAGCGATTTAATGATTGGTTTAATAATGTCGCCTCGATTAAAACGTGAATTACGATTGGTTTCTCGCACGTATCGGTAATCTCGCCGTGGGCGGAGTCTAATTGTTCCTTGAGTGTCTGTTAATTAGACTTTTATGACATGTTGGTAAACAAACAGATTAATGACATTTCGCGTTGATTGAGATGCATGACAGTCCCTTTTTCCGGCGGCGAGGGTAAACAAAGCAAACACACACAACATGTTATTGTTATTGTTGGTAATTTTCAATAATGGATCAATAAAATCGGGCGACTTCATCTTCGCTTTCATGTAGGATGTCGGCGAAGTCAGACGGAATTCGGCGACTATTTCGCCTGAATCGCCCACTAGCTCGAGCCCTGTAATTGTTTTAAATAAATGCAAATCCTGCCTATCAAGATTATAAACTGTCTGCAGCAGTTCGGTCAGTAGCAAGTAATGATATATTTTCATGTGAGGGTTTTAGCCAAATTCTAGAATCAAGAGGCTTTACTAAATGACTTTACTTGGACCTTTTTCCCACTGAATATGGTTGTTTGAGTCCAAACAAAATTGTCAATGAATAATATTTCAAAATTCTAAAAAATCACAATTAATTTGATCAACCTTAACCCTGCTGGAACAAGTGATAAGCCTTTGTTACCAGTAAAGAGCCAGGCCAGCCTGACCATCCATGCAGTCTGACCAGGCTCGACACTTTTGGCAAAATTTAAGTCTTCATCCTGATACCCCCAAAATTGATAATGGACAGTTCCAAAACTAGAAGCTGGGCAAGTCCATTTTGAGATATTCAGCAGGTTAAGGATTAGCAAGGTTTCCAACATTTTTTTTAATCCACTTGATTAAAATTTACAGTCTTTAGATTATGTACTTACTTTTCTGACCAATCGCCAGCCTGTGTATTAAGCTGTTGTTTGCTAGTTTCTAGTTGTTGTATTTGTTCTGACAAGGACTGTACTTGTTGTAGACTGAGTCTCAATTCTTCTTCCCTTTCTGAATAATTGTGACTGATCTGCAAATATTATTCCAACATATGAATATTCTGATGCAATTCAAACTTAAAACTCAAAACCAGTCTATGTTCTCAGCAGCTCATTGGTAGTTCTTGTGGAAATGAATTTGAAATTTACCAATAGTGAAAAAAACTTCTTTTGGCTCTTGAATGAAATCTCACACTTAATATTTTGATATTTTGGTTGTATTTAGATATTTTTTTTAATTTTTCTTACTCCAATGAAAATAAATTTTGCAGCATTTGAGAATATAGATAATATAAATGAAATGATTATGTAAACGAACCTGTAGAATTAACATGAGCTGTCAGTAGGTCAGTATGCTTGACTCTTCTCAGTGCTTGATTATTAAAAGTCATTATGGGTCTTAGACAGCTATCTCCTATTGTAATTACTCTCTTGAAAAAGTGTATGAAGTTTCAACCAATTCCCTTCAGAACCTTTTGAGATACCAACTTGCATGCAATAACTAAACCTAAGTGTGATGCAGAAACTGCGCAAGTACAATAGCTCTCCCAGTTCTTCGAAAAGTCAAGCTAAAATTCATTTACCTTTTGTAAAGCCAATTCAGCATCTTCTGCTCTCTTGGTCTGGGATTGTATCTCGGTCAGGTACGACTGCAACTCTGAGTCCTTGTATATGACAACCTGTGACTTCTCTGTAACCTCTTGTTTATACTCGTCTAACTCTATCTGTACCTCTGCCAACTGCTTCTTTAACGACTCATTATGTAGCTGCAAAATAAAGATCCTGTGTACTTGATAACTAAATACCTATGACTTCTGGTAACTCTTTAGTAATTGGAAAAAAAATAGCATTTGTAATTTTGCTTAAAATTACACTCCTTCCTCAATTTTGCCTAATTGGAATTTCAAAACTGGAAAATGTTTCATTACTCATCTATGGAATTAAATAATGCAGATTTGTGAAAAATCTAACTGAAATCCAAACAGATCAATGCAGATTATTCAACCATGTCTAATTTATGCAAAAAAAGCTTTAAATTTACATCTACAAATCTTCTGTTGAAAATAGGAGTGTCCCTGTTAGCAAAATTTCTAACTATTTAACTGACCAAACTAAAAGTACTCTTACATTTTAAACATTAACTTTGTTTCTTTATGACAAGATATAAGGAAAATTGAGAATTTATGCTTCTTTTGTTAAGGTTAACTATCATAAAAGCTTGAAGCTTATTTGAACTAACCAGTGTTGGCATTAGGTTATAAATCATTTTATTGAACTCAGTCTCGAATCTAAGGATTTTCATTGGGCAGTTCTTATTCTTTGCTAGTTTCTGACCAATCAAATACCCGAGATCTAAGTTTGAACTGAGAAAATTTCTTTTTAACCTTTGACCCTTGGGTCATATGGAGAAACATAATTATGACACAAGTAAGACTTAAAACTATTGCTGCATGGGTTTTGACGCAGACACTTTAACCACTAGGCAATTGCTCTCCTCTACTTACTTTTATTGTTTTAAGATCTGTTTCAAAAGTTCCTTTGGAAGACTGTTGACTACTCAACTCATCCTGCATTTCTAAAACCTGAAATATCAACAATGGTATACAGTTACCATTACATATTGTGAAATAAAACTTTAAATATCATTATTATCTTCAAATTATAATTCATATTATCAGCTTGAATTTTAATCACATATGGCCATTTCCCAGCATTTTACTGGTGAAATACCTTTAGGCTCCCTCCTCATGCATTATTTCAGGGGCACAGCTGGGCAACTCAGTAGAACCAACAACCATTCATTAACTTTGTGCTTGATTGCTTCCTCATATGGCAGAATGCAAAATCTTTGGTGAGACTTGAACCAAAAGTTGTTCAGGTGCAAGTGCTTTTAAATGTCAGAGACCATTACCACTCAGCCAACAAGAACTCACAAACCGTGCCAAAATATTCATTTATCAGAACAATTAATAACACCTTTTAAACTAGAGATAGAAGTGTAAATATCTCACCTTTTTGTTTTTTATTTGAATATCATCTTCTAAATTTTCTTTCTCTTTTGTTGCTATAAATAATTTCTCCTCCAAGTCTCTGATTACAACTAAATGAAAAGAATATATATTTTTAAAAGCAGTAGTGAAAATTAAATGAAAATCTTGTAAACTTAATCAAAAGCGAACAAAATCCATCTTTGTTTTATTTAACACACAATAGACTTGCCCAGCATTGATTTTGGAACTGTCCAAAGTTATTTTATAAGATTTCAACATAGAGGACAAGAGTAAAGAGCAAATATGCCACTCCCACCCAATATAGAATTAAGAGCAGAACATTTTAAAGGTATACTTATATAAGTTATAATCTTTCAGTTAGAATTTAAAGAAAATTCTTGTGTTACCTTGAAACTGTGAATTATTATTAAGAGAGGACACTTACCAAGGGGATCTTTTCTTCCGGGCTGTTTCTTCTTACCCTAAAATATTATAAAAACAACATAATTTACAGTGAAAGAAACAAGGCATGTTTACCCTTAACCTGCTGAAATTGTAAAAATAGATTTGCCCAGCTTCTAGTGTATTCCAGTTTAGATCAGTCCATTCAAAGTGAAAGGATTTCAGTATCAAAATACAAAAATTGAGATACCAACAGTACATAGACAAGAACAACATAGATGCACAGGTTGGCTTGGTTTTGTACTGGTGGCACAGGCTTGTTTACCTTAAGTTCCAGCAGATTAACAGTTTACTAACACAAAATATCTTGTCAACTTAATCTTATATTTTAAACTATATTTCATACATTGTAAAATCCTACTTAATATTATCTAATAAATATGATCTGACATCAATATTTAAGCACCTTATCAAAAGAAAGAGTTAGCATGCATTTTTTTTATTCAGAAATGTTTAACAGCTTTGCAACAAAATTTCCAGTGTTTTTGAATTCAAGACTTTTTATTCCATTAGTTTGGGAATAACACCATAAATTTTTGCCATGAAATGGAAAAATGAGCAATATTTTCTAGAATCCTCATTTATCAAATTAATTTACTGGTTGATGTTGTCAACCTAAGAGTCCTTTTACAACACAAAATATCTAAATACAAATTTTCACCTCCAGATTAACATTGAGCATATGCAGACCTTTACCTAATTCCAATGTTCTATTTCTGTTTTTGATGCAAATTTTCTTCTAAAATGTACAATTTACCATTTATACTTGGGTTCTTTTTTAACTAACAAATAACCCTAAGAAAAATCTATCCAAATCAGCTTACCTTACACAAACATCCAACACAAGTGAGTAGAGCTAATACATTTGTAGAGATAAAGGAGACCAGCATTGTTAGTGTTGGTGACAAACCAAGAGGTTCTTGTTCTAACACTGTTTGTAGAGATGGTGGTAGCTGAAAAAAACAACAGAATTTTCCTTTCCTTTAAACATTGCAATACTATCTGTATTAAACTATATCTTGTTATTATTTATTATGTTTTTAAAGGTTGCAATAATATCTGTATTGAATTATATCAAGTGATTATTGTATTTTAAAGATTGCAATAATATCTGTATTGAATTAAATCAAGTGATTATTTTTTGTATTTGCAAAGAGTTTTCATAGCAAGATACTGTATTGTACAAGCGCTTTTAAAATTCTTTTGTTTCTTTGTTTTAAACCTTTTTTTATTTAATCAACATGCAACTTCTAAGCTGTTCATCACAGAGTTTTTGTAGCAAGATATTGTATTGTAAAAGTTATGAATACAAGATTTTTTATGTATTCGTCGTGTTCAATTAAGTTAGTCCTACCGGTCCTCAACAAGATTCTTAAATGTTCATACACTCTGTTTATTATTTATAATTAAATTTAGTAAGTTTATTTGAAAAATAAACTCATTCAACCATGATTAAAATATAATTTCTATATCAAGTTAAATAATATTAATTCTACATTCTATTAAGTCAAGATTATGTATATGCACGCATTGTCAAAATTTCACAGTGTTAAGTTAATCTATAGATGGAATGAAGACTTCTGAAATAAAGTTCAAAATAATCTATTCAAGGGACTAATTCAGGAAATTAGTTGAGCTAAAGTATTCTAACCTTCTCAAAAATTGTCAGATTGATAATTATAACATTTATAGATAATGTTTGAATAGATCATTTAGGAATTAGGAAGATTTATTAAACAGATCAGAGTTTTTTTCTCCTTTAATAAATTACGTTAGAGGTATTATCTGATATTTGCTTGTGTTAAGTTATACAACCTTGTCATAGCTTGTGCGTTTGATGATCCATGAAACTTGTATATTTAAGTTTGAAGTAACTTGATTAAGAACATATAGTGAAAGTGTAAAATTTAAATAGAATGCTTAGACTTCAGGCTATTTATCGATTTGCCATATTGCATCAGATATTTCTAACTAGAAGATCTTGTGTGCATACATCTCCAGATTTGCCAATCACCCATATTATATTTCATAGACTTGATTTTCTCTTACTTTTTGATGTATCAGATGTCCAGTATGTTTAAATTTGCCATGTTCTTCAGACTGTTCTGTTGCATGAATCAGAATTTTACATGAGATAACGTTGTGCATTGCTCCTCTGCCTCTATCCATATATAAGTATTAAATATTTTCAGTTACCTTTTGCGTGTACCAGTGGAGAATCTGCAGTTTCTGGTGATCAAATTGGCTGCAGACAGACAGAAGGTGTCTGACATAGGACAACGATGGAGGGTAACTTAAGCTCTGTTAAACTGGTCATGGATTCAATAATAACAATTTCTAATTTCCAATTAACCATTTATCTCGTTTCTTTCGTTTCAAACCTTTTTAAGTTTACATCTGGTTAACAATGCAACTTCAATATTCGTTTCATATCACATGTTAGCTATCTTACAATTTCATAAATTTCCAAAATGTCTTACATTAAATCATTTGGGAAAAAAACTCATTCAGACCATGATTAAAAATACTACCAATTACTAACCCCCATACCATGTGTAAACACCAAATATTAACTACAATGTACTCCACTTACCATATTAATCATAGACTTTAGATATGGTTCCAGCATCTTCATAAAATTGTCATCAGGTAGTCGAAGTTCTTCATCCAGATCTGGGTCCGGAACCTTTCTGGTATATAAATGATCAACACCACTGTACGGATCAAGCTGCTCAGGAAAGTCAGTAGTTGGAGCTGTAACAGTATCCTCTGTACTGCCTTCTCTAGACAAGTCTGTCCAGCCATCTTGACTGTTCATACCATCTTTATCAGGTATATTGTTATTCAGATCAGTTGTTTGTTTGATTCCTTCTTGTCCGAGGCCAAGCTGATTATTATTATCATCAGTTAGAGGTTTTGTTTCTTCCTTTCCGTCAATTACTTGGTTATTATTCTGATCAAGGCCTTGTTTAGTTTCAACTCCACCTTGATCTACTTGCTGACTTTCTGTATTAATTCCTTGATTTGGTAATTCTGTCTCTGTACTGGCTTCAGCAGAAGCTGACTCGGTCGAAAGTGGTTTTCTTGAAATGAATGCTTCAGTACTGTAGGCATTCTGATCCAGAGATGGTTGTACCATGTCTTGTACAATATCACTAGCTACAGTTTCGTTGTTGTCAACAGCTTGTGTTTGAGAATCAACTATTATACTTTCAATAGGCTGTGTTTGGATCTCTTCAACTTTTTGAGTGGCATATCCAAAAGATGTCCCAAGGACGCTTACATCTAGGGACTCTTGGCCTACTGGTTCCTCTTTTACTGTTTCTGTTGCATGTATATTTTCAGGTATCACTGTAGAAGTCTGCTCCTCTTGTTGATTATAAGGTATCTTGTTATCTCCATTGTCTACAGGCTGTTGTGTACCAGGTGGAAGCAAAGTTTGCTCAGTTTCCAATGGTGCATCAAAAAGTTTTGTTGGTTCTATTTTGTGTAAAGGTGTCTGTACCATATTGTCAACCACAGATGGGGTTGAGTATATTTGTTCTGTTGCTTGGTCATTGGCTGTTGTCATTTCATCTCCAAAGTAATCAGCATCGAATGTGGTACCATCTATCACAACACCACCACCTCTTGTATCATCTTTGACTGGTTCATTCCTATCAGCCTCTTCTATCAAAGTTTCTTGCACAGTCTGAGTCACTGAATCAACTGATATTTTTGTTTCACTTATTTCTGCTTCAGTATTAATCACTTGTGTAGTGCCTTCTCCTCTACCAAGGTTTTCATCAACAATTTCATCTGGACGAGCTGAAGGAAATTCTGTTTTTGATTCATCATAAGTAGGTGTGGCCAAAATTGACATCATTCCAGATGCAAGCTTTTCAAAATCTACCATTTTCTTATCATCTATTTCTTTTCGTAAATTTATAATGTCTTCAGAGTTACTATCCACCTGTGGTCTTTCTCCATCAAAATCTTTACTCTGTTCCATTTCATTAACATTGGGTTCAGGCACTTTGATCTCTTCCATTTGTTTTATATCAACTTTCTCTTTTTCATTTTCTAAATGGTCTTGAATAACATCTCCATGGCTATCAACAAACTTCAAATCATCTTTATCACCTTCCATATTTTCCAAATTGACATCTTTGACATCTTCTTTTACATCAGCCATTGCTTCTAAGGTCCTTTCGAAATTGTCCAGTATTTGTTCAGCATTTTTATCTGCCTCATTTTTTTCTATATTATCTTGTTCACTACTCTCAAACTTTACATTCTCTTCTGTACCTTTATCATCAGTTGGTATCCCATCAGCTGGTTTCTCACCTTCTGCAGTATCACCACTTTTATTATCTTCAACAGTGTTATCGACTGTTTGGGTACCAAGATCAACTAGAGGTTCATCAACATTTTTATTTTCTTCATTATCTACTTTCTTGGTTTCTACATTTTCTGCCTCTTTCTTTTGAAATGGACTTACAACAGCTGGAATAGAAAGAGAATAACATAAATGATAAGATCTTTGTTATTATAATTTATAAAATATACTACAACATATGTATTCATTTTACATTTCAAATCAAATATTTAATCAAACTATACTTGGTAAAGACAAAAATAGAGTAGGCAAGTAAAATACATTATCACATTCTCAAAATTACTCTAGTACAATATCTAAAGAAAAACTGAAATAACGAAAACATAAAATGCCTTTTGATTTCTTAATGATGTCAATAAATGCAATATTTTCTAAGTGTCTCTGAAACTGTTTCATATAATTTTCTTAGTGTCTCTGAAACTGTTTCATATAATTAAAATATCACCATTGTTAAAGAAAAAATTCAGTATCTGCTTTTTGCATGTATGTTATACATTAATTTTTTTCCTCCTGCCACTAGTGTTAAAACTGAATTCTGATTTCACTTTTATCTGTTTAAACTGGCTGATTCAAGCCATATTCATCAGCTATAGGCAGTTATTCTATAGATATTCTGTATAAATAATACATTTCTGTTACAAATAATAGTGTGATTAATATGTATACAATTATTAATATGCATACATTATTAACATGTGTGTATAAAATATAAAATACAAATGTAAAATCATGCATACTGTACATGCAAACAGTATATTTATTTGTTATCTTAAAGCAACTACATTTGCATTGGTTAAGCAAGTTTAATTACTTGTAAATACAGGTTTTTTGGAGATTTTTTTTCAATCTAAAAGGTAAAGTAACATATGTTGTATCTTATAAGCAGTAATGCACCAGCCAATTGCAACCCCAGCCCATTTAAACCAGTCAGAGCCAGGAAAGAGACAAGATTTTACAATCTGCATGACCACACACTATGGGTTAATGCAGTGGTTTCATTTTGGTGTCAAAATACAAATGTAGCAAGGACACATCTTAACAACAAAGCAGGGCATTAAGCAGATATTTTACTATCTCACTGTACCTGCTGCAGAGTCTTTACTGCAGTTTAAACCATCAGTCTCTGCCACACCAGTCACAGGGTATGGACTAAGAGTTTCAATTGGATAGTGTGTAACTATACTAGACATATTTTAAACAAGTAAAGATGGTCTATTCTAGGTGTACATAATATGACTTATATAAAATATTCATACTAATTCTATAATAGAATTGATCTATCTACAGAAACTGTACATCATCTAACTATGGAATGTAGCACAAATCTTCTTTTTTCTAAATCTTATGCAGCAATATAATATTATGTCTTTCTCAAATGGGGATAGAATATAAAAGCTTAAATTCAATTACAAATCTGGGTTTCATAAATCTGAAGCAAGCACACTAGATATCTCTCACGAATCAACCAGATATCTCTCACGAATCAACCAGATATCTCTCACGAATCAACCAGATATCTCTCACGAATCAACCAGACATCTCTCACGAATCAACCAGATATCTCTCACGAATCAACCAGATATCTCTCACGAATCAACCAGATATCTCTCACGAATCAACCAGATAGCTTTCACGCATTAACCAGATACCTCTCACGAATTGACAATAGTCTTCAGGGTCTTGTGGTCCGACCAAAAAATATCTTAAAAATCTTCCACCTATCTAACGAATCTGCTTTCTTGAGAGAGATTGATATAAAATATAACCAAGTTCTTTGTATTTGTTTAATCTTTTAGAATCCAATAGCTGAATGCCCTTTTTCTCAAATCATCATTACCAATACTTATACAATTAATTCATTACGCTGTTATAACAACAACTACGCTGTTATAAAGTAAGTATCCATGATTTATATACAGACACAGGTGGGTTTGTTGCTAGGAAAAGTTCACCTACATCTACATAAAGTCTGATTAATCAAAGTTCCTACAATCCTAAGAAAAAGAAGTGTACAAATAAAATATCTTATAAAATTTCACTTTGAACTTATCAACGATTTCACTAGTTTTATCAGTGGTGCAAGAATTAACAAAGACACTATGTAAGGAAACTGAAGATCAGAAAATGTTATGTTTACCTACCGTAAGTAAAATGTACATTAAAGCAGCACACCTCCAGATTATTGTTATGTTTTACAAATATAAATACTATGTTTTGAAATAATAAAGTAAGACCAAAATACACAAATCAGGTGAACTTTGCAAGCCTCAAGCACTTGAAAAGTAAAATATGAAATTTGCATGTAATTTGCCTATATCAGCACGTATTCTAAAGGATCAAAAACACATTTCTCAAGCAAAGTTTATGTCGTTCTCATTATTTATTTTTCCATTAAAATCATCTTGCCCAATTTGGTGGCATGTTGCTTTAAAAGAGAGTTTTCTATGCTACAGTAACTGCATTTCAGAGCATATATTGCCTGTTAATACTATATACAAAAGCTATATGATTATACTGAATGAAGGTCATAAAATTTGATGTAATTCATCAGAGTTCTTTTCTTTTTTTATTCTAAATGTAAAACAGTATACTAAATGTTTAACTCCTTTACCTGTTGAAAGAAAAAGTGATTTGCCTCTGCCACTAGTATAGAGTCAGGCCAACCGGCACTTACGGAATTTTGAGGTAGGTCCAAAGTGCAGGCTACCAGTCTCTATACTATGGTAGCTCAACTTCTGTATTTTTGATATTGAAATCCCTTTCATTTCTAAATGGACTATTCCAAATTCAAAGCAGGGCAAATCCCTTACACAAACTCAGCAGGTTCAGAGTTAAAGACTACAAATATTTCTCCTAGCATAGAAAGAACTCAAATCTAACAGTTTGAAAAAGGGTAATTGGTTAATTAATTAGTGATTAAAAGTGAGAACCAATCCAATAAGCGTTAGAGAAACCAATATATAAAAAGGTGAGAACACGCAGCACAACAGCTCTAGCCACACTGTGAAACAAACCTTCATCTATTATGTCTCCAGTGTCTTTGACAAGATCACTTTCTTCTCCAGTAACTGTTGCCTTCTTTTCAGTCCCAGTATCCTGTCCCATATCTATATCCTGCTCAATTCCAGTATTTATGATCTCATCAGTTGCCTTCTCTTCATTGTTTTCTGTTTTAAGGCTACCATCTTCATACTGTTCTGTTCCTATTGTCTTGTGATCGCTGTCTTCTTCAAAACCTTTAGTATCATTTTGTTTCAAGTCTGTTTTTGAGAGTTCTTCAGAGTTCTTTTCAATATGTGTTCCACTATTGTCAATTTCATCAGTACTTTTTCTACTGTCATGTATGCCCTCAATATTTTCTTCCTTACCATTATCATTTGTAGTGCTTTTATCTTTGTTTTCAATTTTATGAATACCAAGGTCAATGTTTTTTACATCTTGTTCATAAGAATCTTTTTTGTTATCAATACCCTCAGGATCTTCTTTAGTATCTGAAGATTTCAATCCTTGACTAGTATCTGCATCTTTTACTGTGTCTTGCACTTGTGTCTTGTTGTCAGAGACTATTTCATTAGCACCACTATCAATGAATTGTCCAGCAGCATTGATATTTTCTTTGTTGTCTGTTAGTTTATCATCATCTTTGGACTGAGTAAGTTCAGTCTTGTCTTTCAGATCTAGATCAGACTTAATTGTTAAACTGTCCTTATCTTCATTCTCATTTTCAGGCAGAACAGTCTCTTTACCTTCACTGTCAGCTACCTGCTTTTTGGATCCATCTGCTGTCTCCCCAAAAACAACACCATCGCCGTAATTAACTTCTAATTTCATTCCATCTTTACTAATATCTTTACTATTACCCTCTTGAGAATCTGGTAAGTCACCTATACCTTTATCAACAATGTGATTTGCTTCTATACTTAATGAGTCAGTTCCTAAAGATTCAGATAAAGGAACTGGAGTATCTGAGGCAACATGTTCAACAACATATTGATGGACATCATTTCCCTCTGGTATAGATGATTTCAATATATCTTTTAAATGCAAATTACCATTTTCTACACCATTTAATATATCATCTGGAGGTTGATTTTCATCCCTTTTTATTTCAGGTTCCAAAGATTCTTTTTCTTTTTGCTCTTTATCTTTACTATGATGGCCAGACACTGACAAATCAATGTTATTATCTTTTTCATCAAGGTCATCCTTATCTTTATCATTGAAAAGATAATCATCATCATCTTCTTCTTCTTCTTACACCATCATCATGGTCTTCATTTTCATCATCTTGGTCATTTTTACCATTGTTCTGAGCATCTTCAATATGTTTTGATCCATCTGCATCATTTTTTACATTCTCATCACTAGTTTCAGACACTTCTGTCAATTTATTACTTTCCGTATTATTACTGGTTTCGAAATTTTTTCTTAACACATCTTCCCTATCAATGTCCACATCTTTATTTTCTACAGTACCTGTACCATTTTTTTCCATATAGTTTTCATCTTCAATATCTTTAGTTTTATCTTTATCGACTATCATATCTTTACCTTTACTATCATCATTTAATTCAATATCTTTCTTTTCCAAACCCTTATCTTCCTTATCATAAATATTTTCATGCAAAGAACCATCGCCAGATTTCATACTCTCAGTTTCAGATTTTTCAATATGATCACCAGTGTTAATATCAGGGTTTGGGATATTTACAGCCTGTTCACTGTGTGTTAAATGATTAATATCTATACCCTCATTCACTTCTATCTTACCTTCAGATTTATCTGTAAAACCAGGAACATATAAGGATAAATAAATGACAAAGAAATAAAAAAACTAACAATGAACATTGCTAAGCAATCTACCTTCATTTTTGGTTATATAAACTAAAGAAAAATAAAGGACTCTTGTTTTTCCGCTTTAATTGGTTAAACATACTCTTCAAGAAGAATTGGAATAGAATTTCTGGCATGCTGAATTAATTTATATGCATTTGCACTTAAACAACTTATGTTGTATTATAATGCACATAATGTATTGCCTATGTACAAAATCTTAAAGCTTTGCAATTTAACCATGCAAAGCATAAAGGTGTAATAATTACAAAATTCTAAATGAAACAAAAATATCCTTCACCAAAATTACCAAAAAATAATGTTTTTTTTAATAAAATATAAACAATGCCATCAAGTGCCACATGCCTTTTTGTAGATGTATGATATTCAAAGGGTATATTTTTCCTTCCTGCTTAAAAAAATAAATACAGAGAGCTACCTCTTGGAATAAATTGGAGCACTGAAAATGAAGACTACAATATTATATTGGAATATTGTTTTTTTTTTATTCATAAACCCTTACATATAAATATTATAAAAATAAAAAAATAAAAAGGCTCACCTGACCAAATACTTCCAAACATGGATCCTCCTTCACCATCATCAATGTCTGTATTATCTTCTATCTCCGTTTCTCCTTCCTTCTTACCGTCTTTCTCTTCAACTGTTTGTTCTCTACTGAAGTCAATTTCTTCTCCTTTATCAACTGGTTCATCTGTCTGTTCTGGTCCCTTTTGCATTTCATCAATGTTTTCTTTCTTTTCACTATCCACTTCTTCTTGTTCTTTTATTTCACTTCCCTCAGCAGACAATGCTTCTTTAATGGCATCTAGATCAATGTCATCTTCAATATCAGTGGATGTGTCTACTGGGAGTTTGTCTATATCAATAAAGCCATCTTCATGCTTCTCTTCCACTGTCTTTTTAACTTCCTCATCTGGGACATGATCATCTAAATCATAAAATATATGACCTACAGAACTTATAAAAGTTTATGCTGATTTATGAAGAGTTTCAGGGCTTTGTTACCTGTTAGAACTAGGGCTGTTTACAGGTATCCTCTCCTTCTGGAAATGTTTTTTTTTAATCATTCAGTTCTCCCTTAGAGTTTAATTTACACTATGCTTTCACTTCCCCTTATGTACAAAAACTGTGTTATTTTCCCCAAAATTTAAGGGACGAACCTCTTCCCCATCTGTGGAAAAAACACGCTGATACATTTAAGTGAAACAAGCATGTAACACACACTGTGAAAGAACAAAAGCACTGCATGTTAACGATTTGAATACATCTTAATAAAACATTGACATCTGCTTGATATAAACCAGTGCAGCTTATAATCTGGTACTTTAAAAAAGTCAGCAAGGGGATGAATGCATTGCCAGAGAATTTGTTTTCATGGGTTAAGCACCAGTATGTAACATTATTTGTGTTAGTCCTATACCTAAGGACTTTCACCTACATGAATATTACATTTTCATTGACTTATCTATAACTGAAAAGTTGTTTTTTGTCACATTTTTTGTTTGATTCAGTGGTGGTGGTTGAAAAATAGTCTAGGACAAATTATAAAATTGTTATCTATCACAGAATTTAACTATTAAAACATAAAAATATGGACAATCATCCTATGAAGTTTGAATACTGTGGGCCAAATGGAACTTAAGTTATGCTCCGGAAACTGTTTTCAGTATTAAGGTAATAGTGACCTTGACCTTTGACCTTGTGACCCCAAAATCAATAGGGGTCTTCTACCCAATATGAACAATCATCCTATGAAGTTTGAATATTGTGGGTCAATGTGGCTACTCTACTGTTCTCTCTATTGTTCTTTTTAGCCACACAAAAGAATATAGCCACATAAAAGCATTACAGAATGAATGACATCAAAGAGAAAGAACAGTTACCCATTGTCCCTCTAGCCACATAATTACTGTCCTGTGAATGCAGACTGACAGACAGACAGACGCCAGGGGGTATAACATAATATGCCTTTTCAGGCATATAAAAAAGAACATCACTTTTTATGTCAGAATAGACTTCTATCACTCAGTATTTACCATCATCTTCAAGTTCAGTTTCATCTGTTTCTGTCTCATCTATTTCAGTGTCTTCATCATTAAGTTCAGTTTCATCTACCTCAGTCGGATCTTCCTTAACATCATTTGTTTCTTTTCCTTCATCCTATGAAAATAATTTTACACTTCATTAATTTCTTCTTAATATTCTTTAGAATAAGCATATTTTTAAAATTTATAAGCATGTTATTTTGAAGGCATGTTTAGTCTGTCTTTACTACACGCAAACTTCCATTTATCATATTTTTATAATAAATGCAGAGACTTACAATAGAAGTCTAAACTGTTCACATATAATATCTACAATATTGAGCTCAAAAAGGGAAAAAATTACAGTCTAAAGTCAACAGAAATGCACAATTTTAACATGAATTACAATATTACTCACCTTTTGCTCAGATGTTTCTTTCTCAGTCAATTGATCTGTATTAACAGCGGAACCAGTCTCAACATTATTTTGGGTCCCAGTCTCTGTATTAACTTGAGAACCAGATTCTAGATTAGCTTCGGAACCAGTCTCTGTACCCCGGTCTTCAGGTTCATCATCAGCAAGTTCAGTCTCATCTCCAATGTCAGTTTCATCCGCTGGTTCACCTATAACTTTGTTATCACTCTCTTTGGACTCCTGGTAAGATAGAAATGCATCTGTGTATCTATTTGTTTATGAAGGGTATAGAAATTAACACAAAAGTTATGAAACAGGAGTACTAAAATCAGAATATACTGAATCATGCCTTGGTTGTGTTATGCAATTCTCCAATTAATTTTTCACCTTTTAAAGGGCAAATTTTTTAATGTGTTATCTGTAAAATGGCTGTGTGTTACCCTCAAGGCTTGCATTGATATGTTAGCATAAGTCATTTGCAGCCCTGATTCATCTCTGTTATTTTGCATATTAAATTGTGACAAAAGCAGATAAAAAACACTCTATCCTGACCCCCCCCCCACTTCCCCAAATTATAGAAGATAACAGGATATACACTAGCATGCATCAATTTCTTTATGGATTGCATTGTTTGTCCTTATAAGACAAAAATATAATGATATGTGCTTTCTGACACACTGTCTTCAATAAAGATTTTTAAGTCCAAACAAATTTAGCATATACTGCAGGAAAACCTGTATACATGTGTATATTCATTTTTTATCAGTCTGACAAAAAATCCAAGATTTACCTCTTCTTTCTTTTCAATGACTGGTACAGAATGAGCTTGTTGTGGAGTGTTTTGTTGCCTGTTATCTTGTTTCACTGTACGAGGATTAGATGGTGCTTGTGTCCCTCGCATCCTTTCCTCCAATGGTACATGGTGCTAGTAATATGATGTTATGTTTACATTATTACTCAACCTTTTACAGTCAATCAAATATTGAATATTGGTAAATATTTTCTTGCATCACTACATAAACATTTATTAAGCACATTACAGTGTGTAGTGTTAATAAGAGGCTAACTTACATGTACATAAATGAATGATATGTATTTTTGTCACAAAATTGAGCATTTTTATCTCTCATTGAATCATTGGCCATTGAGGCAATTATCCAAAGTTATTGGTGACAGCAGAAAAGGATTTTTTTTTCAACACATTACCAACCTTAACTTTTCTGAGGGTTTCAAAGTACCATTTAACACCAAAGGTTACATACATGTATTGCTGGGTTTGTTTTTGTTTTTTTCAAATCATATAAATAAGTCAGTGAAAAAAATCTTTCAATTGTATATCTATGTACAGTGTTTGAATGCAACACAAACATTTTCACATACAAAAAGGGGAAACAATTCAGTAAAATTTTATTTCAGAATTGTTGTTCTTGCAAAACAACAGTCACCTGTAGTTAATAATGATCTCTGAAATATGTGTGCAGTTTCAAATAAACATTTCAACTAAGTGTTTGGCTGATATAGCAAGTAACCTTGTGCCACTATTCTTTAGGTAGCTGATAAAAAGCTGCATACCTCCAGAAGTCAAAATATTTCAAGAAAATCAAACTTAGAAAAAAATAAACTGAGCTTTTAAGAAAATTAAAAAAGTTTCAAGAGAAAAGTAATAATTTCCATGTTACACGTATGTGCGATTACTGATCAATTTTGCAGTATTTGTCACCATATTTCTACTGCGCTACTCACACAGTAAGGGCTACCTTTTCCATATCATATTTTGACCTCTTTTCGATGATTTACTTTGGCTATAAGTGTTGCTTGCAATGTGTGAATTATTTTCTTTTTTTACTTAACAAATATATACCTATTTTATCTCATTAAGCAGATGCTTGCAATATCTGTGAACAATTAAACAACTATATGTTTTTAGAAACCATGTTAATTCTATACTGACCTCTGTATCTATGACAAACTGAGGGTTTGGATTTTCAACTTTAAATTCTCTAACAAATGAACGAGGAAAATAACCTCGTCTGCCATTCAACTGAAACAAATGATTATACAATAATGTATACTAAATGTGGCATTTCAAACTTACTGTTACACACTTTTCTTACAAATATAACATTTACAAAACGTCATACTAAATACACTTATATAAATATATTCCTTTTTAAGAAATATTGAACATTTAAATAAGTGTGCATACAAAGAAAAATTCATAAGTATTGTTATATCATAAATTAACTATTATACAATATTAGATAAAATGAAAAAGGTTTTGTATTTTTTAATTGAAATTACAAATTAATGTCATATAAAATAAAAATATATTCCTTTTTAAGAAATATTGAACAAAAGTGTACATACAAAGAAAAAATCATTAACATTGTTATATCATAAATATACTTACATGTAATTATGAGATATTGTATTTTATTAATTTAAAGCAGCCATAATAACATGAAATTATAATTTTGTCTAATAGGCCAAATTTCAGCTTGGACAGTTGGCAAAGACTTGTCCTGCGATAATATGTTGTACATACCTGTCCTCCCCAGAGATCTTGTCTGCTGCCCGCAGATTTACTATAAATATCTATCAAATCCCCTCTCTCAAAAGGCAGGAATGCAGGATCAGTTGGTTTGTGTCTTGCTAAAGTTCTTGCTTTTGAAACAATGGCTGAAATGACATGAAAATATAAATGTGAAATAGCTATACAGAAAAAGAAAACAAATGTAAAGCCAGATTACAAAGACTGTCAAAAGAACTCATTGACAATTTACTTGCACATGAATATAAGCCAGTAAACAACTTTATTATATTTTTCAAAATCATTTACTTACATTATAAAATCATATAGGTCAGTCTTTTTGCATGATAATGACACAAAATATGGACTTTTTACATTTGACCTTTAAATGTGACCTTGACCTATGGGTAAGCAAATTGGTTATTGCACTTTGCTGAAAACCTCCTAATGGTGATTCATTTGTGCCAAGTTATTTCAAAAACTTTTCATTAGATTAAAAGTTATAGGGCGGCCCCAAAATGTGGACTTTTTATATTGGACTTTTAACAATGACCTCAACCTTTGTGGATGCGACTTGGTTGTTGTGCTCTGCACATCGTCTCATAATGGCGATCATTTGTGCCGAGTTATTATAGAACCATTTCATTTGTTAAAAGCTATGGCAGAGACATAAAATGTCATGGATGGACAGACTGACAGGCAGAGGCCATTTCTATAATCTTTTGCTGCTATGTGGTAGAGGATAAAAACTGATAGAAATTATTTAAATAGCATGTTAGCACTGTTTCTTGGTAAAAGTAACGTCTGAACTACACAAGGTTATAACATAAACAGTGTTGTCAGGACTAGTCAGTGTTCCCACTAGAATTTAAATTTGAGGGTACATGTTACCCCTAGGTCATATTTTTGGGGGTACACTACACAGAATATGTGCCTCTAATATTGGTTCATATTTTTTCTGAACTATTTTTACAGCAGCAGTCATGTAAGATTGTTGCTTTTTGGTGTTGCATGACACATTGTGATCGTCGCATTTCTCAAATTCTGGTGTCTAACTAATGCTGACCGCTGGAAATTATTAGTCCCAATTGTAAACGCCGATTTCAGACTTTTTTTAGTGTTTTTTTTCATATGTCTCGCATGTTAAACAAAACATTTCCCCGTTGACTTTGTCAAATCTAAGCCATGAAAATTCGGACAACCAGGAGTTCTGAAATCGTTTGCAATGTTTCTTTTTGGGGGGTTCATCACTATTTTCACTAGGGCCTGGTTCTTGATTTGCGCTAGAGGATTGAGTAAGGGTCAGCGATTTTTCGCTGGAATCGCTTTTATGGAACCATTCATTTAAATTGCGTCCATTTTCAATAACTTTTCCTGCGATTATTTAATATTTCAGACGGCTTATTTGTATTGCCCGGATGTAGACTTGTTACTTCTTTTAATATAGAGCGTCGTTAATAATTATAAACCAGTCCATGAGCTAAAAATAGCATAGCTGGGAACCCGAGTTATGACCTCAGTTATGACTGATCGGATTAAATTATGGTCTTGTAAGATTTATGAGTAGATTATTGATTTGTGCTGTGAATTTGCGGATAATTTTTTGGCAGTTTTACTTCAATTTTTATATGTGCATGCACGCACCTAGTTGTAATTTCATGTGTGATTTTTGTAAATTATACGTGATTCACGTACATTTGTGCGTGAATGGGAACACTGCTAGTCCAACTAAATTAGTCTTTTCAAAGAGATATCAAGATAATATTTGGACGGGCGATGTCTTTTTCCAATGGTTTGACAGTACAAATAAGACTGTCTGTTAAAAGTGTCAAACTGTTCATCCTTTACTAAGTAGGCAATGTAAGGGTCATGCCATAGTCCAAAATATTTTCATGTATAGATCTACTGCAAATTTGAACCCATTTTTTTTAACATCAGTCAAAACCACTTTTTTGACAAATAAAAAACTGTTAAATTGCAAATGCAAAGTCTTTCAAATAAGGACAAGGGGCCCTACTACTACTAGGTCAACCGTCAAGACGTTGTTTCTTCAACCAAGAAAAATTTAACACACTCGTTGCCTAGTAATGGTTACTTACAGGATTTGAGTGTGTCAATACTCTATCAGCTTATACATGTAAGTCTACATCTGCCTACACAATCACACTTCAATTATTTTTGTATAAATTAAACCATAAGCATCTTAGCATGTATCAACTTCTAGACAGTAAGAAACAAATTTAGTGTGAATATTTTCGTTTTCCATTATATTTCAACATTAAAACTGGTAAAAGTCCATCTCTGATGTGTCTACTTGACAAAAAAAAGATAATGAATGAACTAACGTATCGAGAAATGTATATTTTGAGGAAAATACAAGTCTTACTTTTGCTTAAAAATATGGGAACTTACTTTGGCAGTTTCTATCTCCGCAGAGACGCTTATCTGATATTTTATCTGCATTGGCTAATGTAAAAATATCTAAATTTAACAAAATGGCAAATGATAGGATAAGACGGCAAATCATAGACCCAAACATCATCAAGTTTATATGTACACGTCAGCTCAATTCATTTCTCGTCCTCCATTACTTCTGAGTAGTCTCCCTTGATATTCCCGGCGGTGTCCCGTAAGAAAATAATTATCGTGAACTTTACAACAAACCCGGTTTGTTTTGAAATATAAAAAGCAACATTTACTTTTATTTCCACGTTTTAGAAATTATGTTAACATGTTTCAAGATAACAAACTCACAGCATTTACTGCTTTCAACTTGAAACTAAATCTTCTTTTCATTGTATATTCTAAATACACTATTTCCCTGACCTTCAAATTTGGCTTGTAATGATCAATTTTGTAGATCTACAGCAGAGCTACTGTATATAATTCTTGATGACATTGCCATGACACTCAAAGCCATCCGGTTAGCTCAATAGGTAGAGCGTTTGACTGTGAATCAGGCATGTACAGAAGTAATCAGTTTCTTGCGAAAGTGAAGGCAACTAGTACTGGTAAACTGCTTGGGAGCCTGCCCAGAAACGATGCAGTGGCTGATCTGTGCTCTGGTTAATTCAATGTGGCTTACTGCCATGATCCGGAGTGAAAACTACCAACACCACCACCTATGCTCCTGACAGACAGTTTTTATCATTTTCTGCTTTTATTAATCATTATTATTTATTTCATTTATTACTTCTTATTTTCTTAGTTATTGCCCTTTAGCAGTGTTTATAAATAACTTACATTTAAGAAGAAAATGCTTATGTGAGAACTATACTGTTCACAAGGTGACCAATCCGATTCGCGGAGTTCTAGTTAATGCTGAAAAATCGACCCATTTTGACTAATAATTATCAGAAGATCAGCACTGACAGGGTCAGTAAATATGATACTATTTGCCGGTCTCTAGTAAATACCAGACAAAATAGACCGGGAGAAACCAGAAGCTACCGGACCGAAGAATAGTATATCCCCTATTCAATTCTTTTGACAAATTGAATTATTTTTTACGTTTGACAGATGAATGTTTTCTTTGTTTCAAAATTACACTGAATAGTAATTTCAATTACATTACTTATTTTGGGATTGAAAAGAAATTGTATGATACTATTCTGGCTAGGTTTCGGCATATATGGAAACATTGTATCAGATTTTAACAGTTCTGTATGAAATTTTATGCCAGCAGGGCCTTTTCTAAATAATTTCGAAAAGGCCACTGGCATAAATTAGGAAAAATTATTTGACATGTCAAATTTGAAAAAATTAAAAATCTACCTTATACATGACTTTTTCTAGTCTTTTAACATTTGTGTTAAATTATAACCTGTCACGTGACTTCTTTATAAGAAATAAGTCAAAATAGTTTAATTATTCACAGAAGTTGAAATAATTTGATTTTTTGGGTCACAGTTGAGAAATGTTATTTTTGGGGGGTGTTTTTTGTTTGTTTTTTTATTATTTTTTTTTTTGTGTTTTTTTTTTTGAAATTGGGAAAAATGAGGCTATTTTGGATTGGGAATAAGGGCCTTATTTTGACCTCAGCTGATATGGTGAAAATGCCCTGGCCAGTGTGCCAATTATAAATGGCTGGTCAACACCAGGCCATGCTGCACATACCCCTACATGTAGACTTCATAATGTTGAGTGCTTCATTTCAGAATTATTATAATTGAAATTTATGTTACTTTAACTTATTTTTATCCCCCGCCAATGGAATCGGGAGGGGGATATTGTTTTGGCGTTGTCCTTCCGTCAATCAGTCCATCCGAATTTCGTTTCCGGGCTAGTTCTCTGCAACTACTGGCTGGAATTCAATGAAACTTTATCGGAATCATCAATATCAAGAGGAGATGCGCATATTGTCCCCTTGTTACAGTCAGACCTTTTAACTCAGAGTTATGGCCCTTGATTAGTTATGCATTATGCATATAGAGCAAAAATCGTTTCAGCGCTACTTCTCTGCAACTATTGGCTGGAATTCAACGAAACTTTATGGGAACCTTCAATACCAAGAGGAGATGCGCATATTGTTAGCTTGTTCAGATCAGACACTTTAACTCAGAGTTATGGCCGTTGATTAGTTATGCAGTATGCATAATAGAGCAATAATCGTTAATCTGCGCTACTTCTCTGCAACTACTGGCTGGAATTCAACGAAACTTTATGGGAACCTTCAATACCAAAAGGAGATGTGCATTTTGTCGCCTTGTTCTGGTCAGACACTTTTACTCAGAGTTATAGCCCTTGATTAGTTATGCAGTATGCATAGAGAGCAATAATCGTTTCCGTGCTACTTCTCTGCAACTACTGGCTGGAATTCAACGAAACTTTATTGGAACTTTCAATACCAAGAGGAGATGAGCATAATTTATCATGGCCTTGTTCCGGTCAGACACTTTAACTCAGAGGTATGGCCCTTGATTAGTTATGCAGTTTGCATATAGGGCAAACTTTATGGAACCTTCAAAACCAAGAGGGGATGCGGATATCATATAGTTATGCAGTATGCATATAGAGCAATAATTGTTTCCATGCTACTAAAATCTCTGCAACTACTGGCATGAATTCAATTAAACTTTATGGGAACCATTAATACCAAGATGAGATGTGCATAATTTGTTGCCTGGTTCAGACCAGACCCTTCGCTACAGAGTTATGGCCCTTGTTTAGTTATGTAGTATACATATAGAGCAATATTGCTATTTCTTTGCCACTGTTTTATTGATTTCAACAAAACTTTATGGGAACTATAGATACAAAAAGGCAATTAACATCTCATTGTCCAGATATTACTATTTAACACCGAGTTAATTAAGGATCTTTGTTATTGCCCTGAATATTTATTGTGTACTAAGAATATTACTGTTTACGCCATGAATAAATATATAAATAAAACCTAATGTCTTCAGTTGTTGTGTTAAGGTATTACTACCCTAACGGGCACTATAAGGAACTGAAAAATTTATATCATAGGTCAGATATATACCTTAAAGTACACCTGTATGCAAAATTTGAACAAACTTTACTGTACGGAAATCGAGTTATGGCCACTTTTATGAACTGAAGCTAGGGTGTATGAGGGCTCTTTTTCAGAAATGAGTAGCCTTTAAATAATCTGCAATAACAATCTAATGAAAAACGTTTTCCCATTAATTTTTGGTAAGAAACATAAAGTACTATTCAGCTAACAATCAACATAAACAAAATTATGATTTCTACTCAAAATTTATAAAATATGTATAAAATGTTACCCTACCCCACCCATTTTTAACACGTGTTTGACCATTTTCCTACTAAGGGAGCCTAAATTAAAAAATCCTTAAAATTTACCCGAATGAGTGCCTGTTTTCAAAGTTTCCCTAAATTTTTAAAAAGTATATTGGTTGATCTTGTAAAATATTAAATACTTTTACCGTCTAGTTTTGATTTTATTACACTTTGAAAATATCAGGTACCATATTTATTACTAGATTTAGCATTATTTAGCCAATAAGTACCTATATAAATTAAATAATAAAAAAATAAACACTTTTTTCTACCCAAAATGGATGGAGAGATACATAAATAACGTTAAAACTTAAAAGAAAAAAAAGGTTTGAACACATGGCCCTCAGTTTCAATGTAGTTTACTGTAGTTCTAGCCTATTTGAATACTCTTCAAAGTGGAGGTAAGGCATTAGGATGGTAATACCTTAATAGTAATAACCAGTAGTCAGTACTCAGTGGGGGAATTATAAATTCAACGAATTTGCTTGTTTGTTTTGTTTTTTTCCCAATCAAGGGGAAATAAATCATAAAATCTTCTTACCTATTTTCAAGTTCTATTTACCTCCTTATTTTGACCTATACGACCACAGACTGGCACAGTTTGGAGATAAAGTTTAACTTTTGTAAGGGAAACTTCCATAAAATAAAATGTCGACAGAGCCTGTGATTAACAATACAGACAGATGGATAGAGGAAAACAAGAAATTCTTCTTGCCACCAGTGTGCAACAAAATGATGTGAGAACATTTTTTCTTATTTTTCACACATAAATAATCACTTATGTACATAATAATGGAAAAATGATATACATAGTTTTATAAATATCATAATTGGCATTTATTATTTTTTATTTAAAGACTATCTTAATCAAATGTTCGTTATTTTGGTTTAAGCTGGCATTATGGTTTTCTTATTTTATCAGAAAATTGCTGTCATAAATGGAAAAATATTTTGTTAATAATTTTATTGTTGTCAGATGGTTGAAGTATTTTGTATATACTACAAACAGGTAGATGTTGACACATTAAGCATGTTATTTACTTTAAACGTTATTTTGGGACACATTGTTAAAGTAATTTTGAGACACCATGGTTAAGTGGTTAAGTTCACAAACTTTAATTCATATCTTTTTCCATTTTTTTGCCCTACCTCATTTGATGAAGTTTTTTAGTTAGTTTGTGGATCGAAGGATAAGGGTTGGGTTCTCCTTCAGACATGCCCACTTGTACCATTCGTTAAACTGGAAATTTGCCATGTATTTAAAGGAACTCCACTGAGGTTTATAAGCTTAAAAACATAACATTTTAATTTTTCACATAGATAAACATGAGCACTTTAAACAGAAATATAAATAAGAAATATACAAGAAAAACATTGGTATGTTTAAACGCTTTTCAATTTTGGGTCATTTTTTACTATTGAAATAATAATTCTGGAAAAACAGAGTGAGCTAATGATCTGAAATTTTGCACATAAGTTATTAGTATAGATCTACATCAAATGGAGTAATATTCTCAATAAAAAATTTCCAGTCCCGTCATGTCAAAAAACCTCGATGGAGTCCCTTTAATATGTCTTTAACCCAAAGGAATGAAGATATGCATGTATATAAGATATATATATTAACCTTATGACCCATGCAACGAGTGCAGGCCAAGATCAGCCAGCATAATTATAGGTGTTGTACTGTTGTTAGATTGCTGTTAAGTTTAGTCAGTACGTTTTTTGAGATTTTACCTAAAGATGACAAATGGTCTTGTCCAGATTGAAATTTGGACAAGTCCATTTAAGATATTAAGTGGGGTAAAAGGTTAATGGAAAGAAACATTATTTACTACTAATCAGGTTTAATTGTTTTATGTACATTTGTTAAACTATATCATAAACAACTATAAAAGCAGATGGAAAGGAAAAAAACGATTGTATTCTATGTGTAAAACTCGGTGAGGATTTTGACATTTGATTTACATTGAAATGTCATGCATTTATTGCCATGTAGTAAATACTGACATGCAGAATGTTAAATGTGACTTTTTGTTGTTGCCTATTTATACATTTAGGTGAAACAGTGTGTTTTTTTTGGAGTCTATAACATTATGAAATGTAAATTTTGGTGGATTAGATTCCTGCTGTTTTAAAGACCTTTTTTTGTGAGAACTGCACATTTTTTATCATGCAAAGTTTAAAAAAAATCTCTATGCTAGTATAAATTTACCTTCTATGCCTATGTAAAAAAAAAATGCAGGACCCTCCCCCCCCCACCCAAAGAAAAAAACAACAAAAAAACACATCTCTAAAGCAGTGGGTATAATAAGTTTTGAAATAAGACAAAAGAAGTATGCTGTCAGTGTGTTTATGTTAAAGATTTAACATTTTGAATGAAATGTTTACAGCACAATAATAAGTTCAGACATAATTGTAAAACAGCTATATTTTAATCTGTTAATCTTTACTGTACTATAAATAGAATTAAAATCAGTTTTTGTTAAATATAAACTTGTATGGAGAAGTCTTTAGAAAAAAAAACAAAGCTAAATCAATAGATTTTTTGTCTTCAAAGATGGTGATACAATTGTCTTAATAAAATTGTTCTAATATCCTAAAAACATAAAAGATTAAATTCTTACATAGAGAAACTAAATCTGTACTAAACATGAAAAATACTTGTGCGCAAAATAGATAAATAAATAAATAAAGTAGAAAAATTTAAATACTTTAAAGGTATACTCATTATTTACTTGAAAATTGATTTTTTATGTGATTCTTAGCTCAATTTGAGTTAAAAGACTTTCAATCCTGTAAGGGTTAAACTAAGGCAATTTCAGATAATTTAATTCTTAAGTTATGAGAAATAAACTTACTTAAATGTTTTCTACATGATCATATGTAAATATGATGCCCACAATACATGTACCTTTAAATTTTTAGGTTCTTTTGCATAATGATTGTAATTATTAAGGGGGAAAACTCACAGTCTTATCCTGTATAAATACCTTCAGTCGAGACTCAGTCCCTGTTGAATGAATGCAATGATATGAAGTCTTTTACATCAAGTTGCCCCTCACTGCTGTGGGTTCGAATCCCAACAGAGACTTTGGATTCTTTCATGTGAGGAAGCATTATCCAGCTTGCTTACAGAACGTCGGTGGTTCTACTCAGGTGCCCTTTCATGCCTGAAATAATGCACAGAAGGGTACCTGAGGTCTTCCTCCACCAGTAAAGTTGGAACGTCGCCATTATGACCTATACTGTGTCGGTGTGATGTTAAACCCAAAACAAACAAACAAACAAAATCACAGATAAATCAGCTTTAAAAAAAAATCTTTAGTACTTTGGTTCAAAATTGATTTTTGTGGTTTCCTGTGGGTGTACTGGTCTTACTTTTTAGTCGCCTTAGTGCACATTAACGGAATATTAGTCCTTCTAAATTTAAAAGCAGTTAGTTCGTTATTGCACTAAGGTGATTAAAATTTTAAATATAATTAAAAAATAAAATTTACAATTTTCTTGAAAAATATTTGAAATAAAATTATCCATTTTTCAATCTAAACAAAACCATTCTTTTTTTTTTTTTTTGGGGGGGGGGGGGGAATTTCAAAATGTGTACAGACTGAATAGTGAACAGTGCAGACATATGGTCAGACTTAATGTCTTCATATTTCACATATTGATTGGTCATAACTAGTAGTTGACCATTATAGATATTGGTTGTGCTGGCTGATGTTGGTCCGCACTAGTTGCTTGGGTAGAATCTGTTGCTGCAAGCAGGCTTATGGTGAATTAGCTTTCTGTCTTTTATTCGCTTTCACTAATGTATAACAATACCCATCTTTGACTTTTTACTAATTTGTAAGCCATATTTATTATGTATCTATTTTTAGCTACTCTCATTCATAACAACATTTCAGAAACATGGAAATATAGAACATATAAAACATGGAAAATAACGAACTAGGGTGAAATTTCTAAAAGTTATAAATAAACAACAAATTACTTTGTATGTTGTTACAGCCTTTTCAAGCCATTATATAGTTGGATATAAAAATAAAGGCAGAAAGAAAATTTGAAGTAGAATTCATTCAACTTAAAAGACAATGATTTTAGAATATGATAGGACTAACTGAAATATTTTAAGCAAAAAAATGATAGGGCTCACCTAATTCATTTTTGGATTGTTTGCCCTTGAGTTTGAAAATTTTGCTTAATAGTCGTTTAAAATAATATGCCTTTTAGTACATTGCATATTCATTTTAATGGTGAAATGTTTGTTACATTTGTTTTGCATTACACCTTTTTTTCAAAGAAATTTTAAAGGGAGATAATTATAGTGCATCTTAAGTTGTGGGTTTTACCATCATAATGCACACACTCTGCATTTTTGAAGGTTTATCATAGTATTATTATTACATAGTACATTAGTATTTAAATCATTCTTACATAATTTAACATTCTAAATTGATTTCAGGCACAATGATGGACAGATGAAATCATTTTATGTGGGCGGGCCTAATCAGAGGAAGGATTATCACATAGAGGAAGGGGAGGAGGTAAAATATTTAAATATATTTCATGAAGAAATGATAAAATTTTAACCCTTTAAGTGCTAATTACTAGAGCTGTCATTGGTTCAGTCCAAAACATATTGATGATACATCAATATTTGATAACAAAAATATCAATGATACATTGATTTGTCAATAAATACTCTGAATTTCTTGTATATAATTCACTTTTATACCAGTGTTTAAATGATTTTAGTAAAAAACATGTACATGCTCTGTTCATGAATAATTTTCTGATTATTTTTTTTATCACTGCTTTGAAATGTGTCCATTTTGTAACAACAGCTTGATGTTAGACATGGCCACCTGCTTTTATTATATGTTTTGGGTAAATTTTTAGCTCGACTTTTCGAAGAATATGGAGAGCTATTGCAGTCGCCCCGGCGTCCACGTCCGTGTCGGCGTCTGCGTTGGTTAAAGTTTTTTGTAAAGTCAAATACCTCAATTATTGCTTGAGATATTCAATTGAAGCTTACAATACTTATTTATAGTAACATGCACATCAGATTGACAAGTTGGATAACTCTGCCTACAATATTTACAGAATTTATATGCCCCTGTTTAACTTAGAAATTTTGGTTAAAGTTTTTTGTAAAGTCAAATATCTCAATTATTGCATGTATATTCAATTGAAATTTACAATACTTTTTTTATAGTAACAATGTACATCAGTTTGCAAAGTTGCATAACTCTGCCTACAATATTTGCATTATTATGCCCCTTTGAAACTTAGAAATTTTTGTTAAAGGTTAAAGGTCTTAAGAACTATCAAAGATATTTACTTGAAACTTTACACATGTACTCAGGGTCATAATTGAAGGTCACATCTCAAGATCCATTACTCTGCCATGTATTTTGACTGAATTATGCTCCTTTTTGTACTAAAAAAATCTCCTTTTCTTGGTCAAGTTTTCCATATCTCTGAAACTATTAAAGATACAAACTTGAAACTTCATATGTATATTTGTGGGCATAAATAATGATTACTGAACAGAACTCATATCTGTGTCATGTATTTAGGCTGATTTGTCTTCCCCTTTTTTGCTTAGTCTCTTGGTTAATGTTTACATGTAAGTTTTACATATCTCAATAATTATCAGAGATTTTGATTTAAACTTCACATATGCATGAAGGGTCATAATTGTATGTCACTGACCAAGTTCCATAACTGTATCTTGCATTTAGGCTGATTTGTCTCCCTTTTTCTACTTGGTCTCTTGGTTAATGTTTACATGCAAGTTTTGCATATCTCAAAAACTATCAAAGATATTTATTTTAAACTTCACATATGCATTTAGGGTCATAATTGTAGGTCACTGACCAAGATCCATAACTGTATCTTGCATTTAGGCTGATTTATCTCCCCTTTTCTACTTGGTCTCTTGGTTAACTTAATGTTTACATGCAAGTTTTACATATCTCAAAAACTATCAAAGATATTTATTTCAAACTTCACATAATTATGCATTTAGGGTCATAATTGTAGGTCACTGACCAAGATCCATAATTGTATCTTGCATTTAGGCTGATTTTTTTCCCCTTGTTAACTTTATATTTTTATTTTTTTTCCATTTATTAAATTACATAACCTTTTGAGATATAGCCATGATACTTACATTACTTGTTTACAATAATGATCTGAGTCTGTAATAATCCAGAGGAGGTTCACAGTAACTGTGTCAAAAATATTATTTACATTTTTAGTAAACCAGGTATCAAGTTAAAACTTAAAATTACATTGTTCAAATGTTTTTTTGCTTTTATGATATTCAGATTCTTATTGGTAACTTAAGCTTATGACGGCATCTTCCATTTTGTATATTCATGAATACGAATAAAAGGTACGAGTTGTTTCATATGTAACTGAATCTTTTTGAATAAATATTTCAATTTTCACTTGCATTACTTCAAACTTCTTTTCAAAAGTCATGTTCATAATAATATTCTGATAAATATATAATGCATTTCCACTTAACAAGCCGGGCTAGCGCACAGGTAGGGTGCTGGTCTGTCAAAAGGTAGACCTGTATTCAATACCTGTCCTTTCCATTAGTCTTATGTCATTATTTTGTTAACTGTTCTAATTGTCGAGCATGCTGTCATCGGACAGCTCTGATTTGCTTATTTCCAAATTAATGACCCCTTTTATATTCAATGAAACTCATGATTAACATTTTGCTTGTAAGCTGGTATCTCCCTAACTATTAAAGGGAATAGAATGAAACTTAACATACATTTTCACTGTGATTTTTTAACATGATTGGCACAGGTCCCATAACTCTGATTTACTTATTTACTTATTTTTGCCCCTTTTTGTGTCGCCTCTACGGAGTAGTGGCGACATATAGGGATCACTTCTCCGTCGTCTGTCCGTCCGTCTGTCTGTCCGTCACAAAACTTGTCCGGACTACTCCTCATAAACTACTGGTGCAATTTCATCCAAACTTTACAGGAATGATCAGTACCAAGTCTAGTTGTGCATATTGTCAGCATTTTCCGGTTCAATGATTTTTGTCAGAGTTATGGCCCTTTAATAATTTTTATTTTTAAAGTTTGTCCGGACTACTTTTCTTATACCACTAATGCAATTTCAATGAAACTTTACAGGATTGATTTATAGCTCAAGTCCTCCTTGCGCATATTGCACGGTTTTTTGGTTGAATGATTTTTGGCGGATTTATGGCCCTTCGATAAAAAGGTGTTTTTTCTGTGTGTTGCCAGATACACAAAAGCTTGTCCGGACTACTCCTCAAAAACTACTTGTGCAATTTCATCAAAACTTTACAGGAATGATCAGTACCAAGTCTAGTTGTGCATATTGTCAGCATTTTCCGGTTCAATGATTTTTGTCAGAGTTATGGCCCTTTAATAATTTTTATTTTTAAAGTTTGTCCGGACTACTTCTCTTATACCACTAATGCAATTCCAATGAAACTTTACAGGATTGATCTGTAGCTCAAGTCCTTGCGTATATTGCACTGGTTTTCCGGTTGAATGATTTTTGGCCGAGTTATGGCCCTTTGATAAAAAGGTGTTTTTTTCTGTGTGTTGCCAGATACACAAAAGCTTGTCCGGACTACTCCTCATAAACTACTGGTGCAATTTTATCCAAACTTTACAGGAATGATCAGTACCAAGTCTAGTTGTGCACTGTCTGTATGTCTGTCCGTCTGTCACAAAACTTGTCCCAACATAAAATTTGCCATCATGAGGCGACACATGTGATTACTGATCGCTCTTGTTATACTCAATGAAACATCCTTGTGACAACTTTATCGAATAGTCGAGCATTGCTGTCCTCCGACAGCTCTTGTCATAATTTATAGACATTTAAATAATTAATCAAAATCATCGATTTTTTCAGATGTGTATTGATTTTTGATCAAGAGAAAAATATCAATGAGACAATTCAATTTCTCGTTTCTATTGATGACAGCTCTACTAATTACATTGTACATAAAATAACAATAAACATGTACTTGCATTTTTACTACAAGTAAATTCACTTGCATGTAATATAAACTCAGTCACCTACAAGGTAATAAGAACCCTGCATTACAATAAATTGGCATGGTTTTATATTTGTTTCAGTTGTTTTACATGGTTAAAGGGGACATGTGTTTAAAAGTTGTTGAGCGAGGGATTCACAAAGATATTCCAATCAAAGAAGGAGAGGTAAAAACTTTTGTTGTAAAAATTCAGTTAAGTTATAGTATGTTATAGTATACTTAATGCCTACCATTCATTTTACAAGTGATGAATCCACAAGTGTTTATTTTACAAGTGCCTCTATTTCAGCATGGTAATTACGTTTTCATATTCATAATACTTTAGAGTGTCAAAGCTGCATACCTCCAGATAATAAACAAATAAAATCAAACTTTAAAAAAACATATACATGTATATTAAGAGGAAATATAAAATTTTCACAATCCATGAAAAACTAAACATGTTAGCTTACACTGGGTGACTCCAAGCACAGCAATAAGCCACATTAAATTTATCATAGCACAGTTTAACCACCTCGGCTGTAAGGCAGTTTGCCAGTACTAGTGACTTCACTTTCAGAAGGAACTGATAGCATCTGTACATGCCAGAGCAGAGGTACAGTGCATATGACCGTAGAAAGGATTTCATGATAAATCACAACGGAATCAAACCTTGATCACCTGATTCTTAGTCCAACACTCTACCTATTAAGCTTATTAGATGGTTAGCTCTTTAATGCAATCCTTGACTTATTTTGATATTTTTTTATGATATTTCTTACCAAGTGTTAATAAATGGGCTCATTTTGATTCATTTTAAGTAATGAAAATACTTTCTGAATTTTCTGAAAAATTATCATAAATCTAGAGACATACTGCATTAAGGCTAATAGCCTCATTGTCTGAAGAGCAATAGGTGAAGGTCAAACATTTATGTCTTTAATCTATGTCAGTTGCTAATCTGATCCTTTAAGCTACATGTATCTTACTATCCATAGATTTTTTTGTTACCTGGAAGTTTTGTTGTTACTATTTATAGATTTTCTTGTTGCCTTGAAGTTTGTTGTTACTTTTTATAGATTTTTTTGTTACCTAAAGGTTTTGTTGTTACTATTTATAGATTTTCTTGTTGCCTTGAATTTTGTTGTTACTATTTATAGATTTTTTGTTACCGTACCTGAAGTTTTTGTTGTTACTATTAAATTTTATAGATTTTCTTGTTAACTGAAAGTTTTGTTTTTACTATTTATAAATTTTCTTTTTACCTTGTTTTTACTATTTATAGATTTTCCTGTTACCCAGAAGTTTTGTTGTTACAATTTATAGATTTTCAAGTTACCCAAAAGTTTTGTTGTTACTATTTATAGATTTTCTTGTTACCTGGAAGTTTTGTTGTTACTATTTATAGATTTTCCTGTTACCCAGAAGTTTTGTTGTTACTAGTTATAGATTTTCCTGTTCCCTTTAAGTTTTGTTGTTACTATTTATAGATTTTCTTGTTACCTGGAAGTATTGCCCACTCCCCACAGAGACAGGCAGACACAGTTGGTTTAGTAATAGAAAGAGAGAGAGCAGAGGATGAAAAAGATGGTCTCAGGTAATTTTAAAATGACAACTTCAAGATTAATGCTATAATTTGAATGAAATTGTGTGGCGGCATGGCCGACTGGTGACACATCGGACTAGTGATCTAATGATCGCTAGCCGCATGGGTTCAAAGCCAGTCAGGGGCAAGTCGTTGTGTCCTTGAGCAAGAAACTTTACACTCTTTGCTCAGTACTGTACTGGTTGGTTCCAGGAACGGATTCGAATGAGTGTCTATAAACCAGTTTGAATGAAAAATGCTTTAACTTTGCCTTCATAACTGTATTTCCCAGACAATAGGCTGCAGCCTATACGTTTAAAAATTCAAAATTTTCATGGATAACATTTTGTATATATTGGGTGATAATCCCTTGTTTTGTGATCTATCAGGTTTTTTAGCTCACCTGACCACGATGTGGTCAAGGTGAGGTATAGTGATGGGGCTATGTCCGGCGTCGTGCGTTGTGCGTCGTGCGTCGTCAACAATTGGGTTGTTAACAGTCTAGCAGTCACAGTTTTGATTGGATCATCATCAAACTTTGTCAGAATGTTTGTCTCAATGAAATACAGATTGAGTTCGAAGATGGGTTATCTCGGGTCAAAAACTAGGTCACAGAGGCTAAAAATAGAAAAAGCTTGTTAACACTCTAGAGGCTGCAGTTTTCATCCGAATATTCTGGAAATTTGTCAGGAAGGTTGTTTTAATGATATCTAGATCAAGATCGAAGATGGGTCATCTCCGGTCAAAAACTAGGTCACAGGAGCTAAAAATAGAAAATGCTTGTTAACACTCTAGGGGCTGCAGTTTTCATCTAAATATTCTGGAAATTTGTCAGGAAGGTTGTTTTGATGATATCTAGGTCAAGTTCGAAGATGGGTCATCTCGGGTCAAAAACTAGGTCACAGGAGCTAAAAATAGAAAAAGATTGTTAACACTCTAGTAGCTGCAGTTTTCATCCAAATATTCTGGAAATTTGTCAGGAAAGTTGTTTTGATAATTTCTAGGTAGAGTTCGAAGATGGGTCATCTCCGGTCAAAAACTAGGTCACAGGAGCTAAAAATAGAAAAAGCTTGTTAACACTCTAGAGGCTGCAGTTTTCATCCAAATATTCTGGAAATTTGTCAGGAAGGTTGTTTTGATGATATCTAAGTCAAGTTTGAAGATGGGTCATCTCCGGTCAAAAACTAGGTCACAGGAGCTAAAAATAGAAAAAGCTTGTTAACACTAGTGGCTGCAGTTTTCATCCAAATATTCTTGAAATTTGTCAGGAAGGTTGTTTTGATGATATATCTAGGTCAAGTTCGAAGATGGGTCATCTCCGGTCAAAAACTAGGTCACAGGAGCTAAAAATAGAAAAAGCTTGTTAACACTCTAGTGGCTCCAGTTTTCATCTAAATATTCTGGAAATTTGTCAAGAATGTTGTTTTGATGATATCTAAGTCAAGTTTGAAGATGGGTCATTTCCGGTCAAAAACTAGGTCACAGGAGCTAAAAATAGAAAAAGCTTGTTAACACTCTAGGGGCTGCAGTTTTCATCCAAATATTTTGGAAATTTTTCAGGAAGGTTGTTTTGATGATTTCTAGGTCAAGTTCGAAGATGGGTTATCTCTGGTCAAAAACTAGGTCACAGGAGCTAAAAATAGAAAAGCTTGTTAACACTCTAGTGGCTGCAGTTTTCATCTAAATATTCTGGAAATTTGTCAAGAAGGTTGTTTTGATGATATCTAAGTCAAGTTTGAAGATGGGTCATCTCAGTTCAAAAACTAGGTCACAGGAGCTAAAAATAGAAAAGCTTGTTAACAGATTAGGGGCTGCAGCTAAAAATAGAAAAAGCTTGTTTACACTCTAGTGGCTGCAGTTTTGATTCAAATATTCTGGAAATTTGTCAGGAAGGTTGTTTTGATGATTTCTGGGTCAAGTGCTAAGATTGGTCATGTCCGGTCAAAAACAAGGTCACAGGAGCTAAAAATAGAAAAATCTTTTTAACACTCTAGTGGCTGCAGTTTTGATCCAAATTTCCTGGAAATTGGTCAGGAAGGTTGTTTTGATGATTTCTAGGTCAAGTTTGAATATGGGTCGTGTCCGGTCAAAAATTAGGTCACATTGCCCAAATATGGAAAAATCTTTATAACACACTAGAGGTCACATGTTTGACTCAGTTGTCATCAAACTTGGCCATGATGCTTGTTTAAGACATTGCTTGGATGCGGTTGTGTCAGGTGAGCGATTCAGGGCCATCATGGCCCTCTTGTTTACTATTTCCTTAGAGCTATTTCTGTATATTTTACCCTACCCTCTCTAACCAATTGGGGTTTTAAAGCACGAGTTCATGTATTTTACCCAAAATTTCTGACCTTCATTATATCCCTGCACAACAAAGTTGTAAGGGGGGTATACTGGAATCAGGTTGTCCGTCTGGCCGTCCGGGTGTCCGGGGCTTTTTCCTTGTTCGCCAAATAACTTAAGATTCCTTTGACCCACAGTCTTAATATTTGGCATGGAGGTTAGTCATGGTGAGTAGATGACCCCTATTGATTTTGAGGTCACTGGGTCACAGGGACCTTGACTAGAAAAAGCTTGTCCGCCTAATAACTTAAGATCCCTTTGACCCACAGTCTTCATATTTGGCATGGTGGTTAGTCATGGTGAGTAGATGACCCCTATTGATTTTGAGGTCACTGGGTCAAAGGTCAAGGTCACAGGGGCCTTGGCTAGATAAAGCTTGTCCGCCTAATAACTTAAGATCCCTTTGACCGACAGTCTTCATATTTGGCATGGAGGTTAGTCATGATGAGTAGATGACCCCTATTGATTTTGAGGTCACTGGGTCAAAGGTCACAGGAACCTTTACTGAAAAAAGCTTGTCCGCCTATTAACTTAAGATTCCTTTGACCCACAGTCTTCATATTTGGCATGGAGGTTAGTCATGATGAGTAGATGACCCCTATTGATTTTTAGGTCAAAGGTCAAGGTCGCAGGGGCCTTTACTGAAAAAAGCTTGTCCCCCTAATAACTTAAGATTCCTTTGACCCACAGTCTTCATATTTGGCATGGAGGTTAGTAATGATGAGTAGATGACCCCAATTGTCTTTGAGGTCACTGGGTCAAAGGTCAAGGTCACAGGGGCCTTGAATGGAAAAAGCTTGTCCGCCCAATAACTTAAGATTCCTTTGACCCACAGTCTTCATATTTTGTATGGAGGTTAGTCTTGATGAGTAGATGACCCCTATTGATTTTGAGGTCACCGGGTCAAAGGTCAAGGTCAGACAGGCCTTGAAGGTCAAGGTCAGACAGACCTTGACTAATAAAGCTTGCCCGCCTAATAACTTAATATTCCTTTGACCCACTGTCTTCATATATGGCATGGAGGTTAGTCATGATTATTAGATGACCCCTATTGATTTTGAGGTCAAAGGTAAAGGTCACATGGGCCTTCACTAAAAAAAAGCTTATCAGCCCATTAACTTAAGAATCCTCTGACCCAGTTTTCATATTTGGTATTGAGGTTGTTTATGATTATTAGATTACCCCTATTGATTTTGAGGTCACTGGGTCAAAGGTGACAAGGACCTTGAACTAACAAAGCTTGTTGGCTCAATTGCTTTGAAGGCTTTGGTCAACAGTCTTCATATTTGGTATTGAGGTTGTTTATGACTAGTAGATGACCCCTATTGATTTTTAGGTGACTGTGTCAAAAGTCAAGGTCACAGGGGTTTTTACTACAATAAGCTTGTCTGCTCAAATGCTTAAGGTCCTCATTGTATTGATTTTGACATTTTCACATTTGAAGCATGTAGAATACATAACTTAGCAATGCACTGGCTTACTAACCTCAGATTTGGCAGGGAGATTGTCCTTGAGCTCTAAATGGCCACTGTTGATTCTGACAAAGTGGTATGCGGGGGTATTCACGCCAAGACAGAGGCAGTTCTAGTTGTAGACTGTTGTAGGTTTAGTATGGTAATAAAAAAGCTACTTACTACTATGCTTTATGATTTATTGGCCTAGGAGATTTCCAAGCTGCCTGATATAATTTAAAGGTTGAAACAGTATGATCTGCCTGATGTACGGCGTTAAGTATAACTTAAGTCTTTACGCACAAGTTCCAATGTAGTTTGCATAAATAAGAATTTATTTACTTTTTCGTACCCTTAGTTATTATTTCTTTTGCGTTTTTTGACATTTTAATTGGGTAATTATGCAAATACGAATGTTATCTGCAGCCCTGCATGGATACGGCTTATCAGTGGAAGTGGCTATACATCAAATCTATTTTGATAAAAGATCTTTAAGTGCAGCCTTTGGCAGTGAATTTGATTTTAGAAAATGAATTAAAATCCAATATAATTAGTTTTGTTTTGTAGAAATTGCAAAATGAAAGCACTAAAACAACCAGAAATTTTTTAGTTACATTCCCTTACCCAGTGCTCTTGTTATTTAGATTAAAGCTTTTATTTTGGTTTGATTGCGATAAAAGCTTGAAGCTAGCAAGTACCGAGGGAGATGTAGTGTGTTTGTACTCCCCTTTAAAATTTGTGTTTGAATGTAATCAAAAACTACAAAACATTTAATAACATGTGATATACCAATAGAAAGTTGACAATTTGAGCTATATGATGCGCATATCGTTATTGAAATTCAAAACTTCTTTCCTATAAAAATAGGCTACGTTTACACTTTTATCAATGCCAAACGGTGAAGGTCACTGTGTTTTTTCACATTTGTTGTCTTGTTATACTTCTTGTTCATATGGTGCCATGTTATTATTATTGCTTGCATGATATTAAATATGTTAGTTTTAAATAAGTATACCAATATTTTAGATATTTTATTGAAGTAGACGGTAAACCAACACTAGATTCCCTGTACGAGGAATGGTTCCATTGTGAAGATCTTGGTACCCAGCTGCCACCAGTCATTAAAAGGTAACTTTTTGAATCTGGGAACCAAAAGTAAATTTAGATAGTCTTTGCTATTCCCACCAGTAAAGAGATCTAGGCTAGATCTTTATAATACTGCACATTTTGTAATGTTGCTTTTCATTGGATAATCGTATCATTGATATAGTTTATATATACCAGCTGCTGTCAATTTATGAAGAAATCTCACTTTTTTCTAAAATAAAAAAAAAAATGCTTGCTATATTATAAATTCATTATAGAGATTCCTGACAGGTTATATGGCCATATATAAACAATAGTTTGCAATATAACCCCAACAACCATTTATATAGAGCCATATAACCTGTCAAATATATTTATAACTAATAACATCATACTGTTGGCTGACCCACTTGTAATTTTCATCTGAATACCTATGAAATTGACCGTGGGCAATTATGAAAATGAGGTGGTGAATTAATTTTGCAGGATAATGGCGTAGGTAATATATGTTACTTTTGAATAACTAAAAAGGGTACATGTACACCTATCAATACCAAAATCTGATTTGTCTCAACTTGACATTGAAAAAAATGAGCATAATGTCACTTTAATGTTTTAAATATATGATGATATATGCCATGAAATATTAATGTAAGGAACATTAGGGGATGGCTCTCCGTCTAAACCCACTGCACCTATTACGGGGAAAATAAATGAGCAACCTATGTTGCTGAAAAAAAAAAATCTGATATGTGTGATCTGTGTTTCTTTTGTATGCTCTTCATCTATTTATTTCTATGTTTTCTGCTAATAAATGTGTTTCCAAATTTCAGGTACTTTGCCTCAGAACAGCATAAAACTGGAAAACCTTTACCAGGTAATGAGGCAGAATTAGCAGAACTACTATGCTCATCATTTTGCATAATTTGATAACTAAAGCCCATTCTATAGGGAAAAAAATGTTAAGCTTACTAAAGGTCAGTGGTTGTACTTAGGTTCCCCTGCAAGACTAAAGTAATGCAAGTACATGTACATCACATTTCATGCCAACTTTGTTGAATTCCATCTTTAAATACTTTAAAATCACATGAGCTATTGATTGTCCCAAAATCATGGCTTGAAAAGATTTTAATGCAATTTTCAGAGGGCAAAATTTTGCTAAAAGTTGTTACTCCATATACTGCATAGAACTTGTCCATAACTTTCACAACAATTTCATTTACTCAAAGTCCAGACCATGTTTCTTGCTTTTACAATCTATTGAAAGTTAAACATGTATGCTTTTAACATAATGGCCATATCTTTACTTATTTTTTCACTGTATTTTTTTTCAGGCACCATCCCTGAAAACCCACCAGTGAAATTGAACTTTAACCTGACTTTACAGAACCCTTTTCCTCTAGCGCAGTTTATCAAAGATAACAGATCTAAGATAGATAGCGCTGGTTTCATCAAATTGTTTGAAAGAGATGATTATACTCATCAATTCCAGGTAAAAATTCTGTATGTTGTATTGTTTTTAAAGTATTTACTATTCACTACTAGATCTTTATATACCCCTTGTGACTGAGGGGTTGCCTTCAATGGTTGAGACATAAGAATTGCAGCCACTGTTTATCCCTGTGTGATTGTAAGTGGCAACTGAATGGGTTTGAATAACTTGAGTCTATGCATCTCTTAGATCCTGCAGGTGAGGTGGTTTTAACCCATTGTGTTGCTTTGAAGTTTGTAACACCTGAGGTTAGCCAAAATCATCTGTTTCTGTGCGATATAACTTTTACTGTGTTGGCGCCCTGTTAAACCAAACAGACATAAAAAGATCTTCATATTATAAGATTATAAAGGCAAAAAAAAACTGTATTAATTTTCTCATGCACAGTAAAGCAATTTGACCTCAAGATAAGTGCGTTTTGTAGTAATTTTTCACAAGACTTGTATTGGAAATGATAACAGAAAGGTTAAATGATGACATCAATCTGGATGTTTTCTTGTGCCTGAAATGATGTTACAGGGTGAAAAAGAGTCTGTAGGGGCCTCAGTGGCTAAGTGGTTAAGGAAACTGAATTTAAATCATTTTGCCCCTCACCACTATGGGTTTGAATCCCATCACAGACTTTGGATTTTTTCATGTGATTAAGCTTTGAATCTATGTTGCTGGAGGTTGGTGGTTCTACTAAGGTTCCTGCTTGTGCCTGAAACAATGCAAAGAGGCCAATCTGAAGTCTTCCTTCACCAGTAAAGCTGAAAAGTCACCATATGATTCTTACAGTGTCAGTACAACCTAAAATCTTACAGATCAAACAAATGACAAATTTATAATTTAGAAAAAGTACAAAGCACTGGGGGTCTTATTACATTACATTGACAGATCAGTAAACGAATGAAACATTTAACAGACTGAAGAAGAAGGCTGAGGTCATTTCTATGTTTTTGGCTGGCTTATGAGGTCAGAAATACTGTGGGCTATTTCTTATATAATATAAGAAATAGCCCACAGTATTTCTGACCTCATAAGTTATATTATACCGCACTTTACCAGATCATAATGGTAAAAATTCAACAAGGAAGGATTTCATATTGTTTGTTGTAAAATGTACTGAAAACTGTTTTCAGTCACCTTGTATAATGCACGTTTTGTAAAATATTCTTGATGGTTATAAGCCACTAAATATTAGTAACCTGACAAAAACAAAACTGTGTCACTTCACTTTTTTGTCAAAATGCTGACTTCATCTTGAATATTATATTATTAAAATGCCCGCTTACTTTTACATAAAAAAGAAGGAATGCATTTATATAAAGTATAATATTACAAAAAAACTTGATAATTGTTTGACTATAGGTCTATGTATATGGAAAAGGAGAAAACACAGCCAAGATTGATGTCGCTGAAACTTTCATCTGGGTTTTGGTAAGTTTAAATTAAATATAGAATTTCTGAAAACATCATTGGTTAGTAAAATGTTAATAATAATATGAGCAACTCCATGACAAAACCAGCATAATGCCATTGCGACTAGCATGGATCCAGACCAGCCTGCGCATCTGCGCAGTCTGATCAGGATCCATGCTGTTCGCTTACAAACCCTATTACAAGTAGAGAAACTGATAGCGAACAGCATGGATCCTGATTAGACTGCGCGGATGCGCAGGCTGGTCGCAAACGCATTATGTTGGTTTTGTCATGGCGCGGATCAATTATAAATTCTTATAATTGAGCAGGAAGATTATACATGAACTGATATGTGAAAGGCTCATTAGATTTGGTTCATGATTTTTGGAACAATAACATGAATCGTTGTTCAGATTTGACGATAGTATTTCTTGCTATTCTAAAATACAGTAAGTAGCTGTAATAAATTAAAAATGGAAGCTGACACTGGTAGTTGTGCAGTTAGGAATGAAAAAATGAGGACAGGAAGAAGCAGTCTTAAAAATTTCATTTCCATTCCATTCTCTGTAAATTGAATTTAAAATGTCAGATGTTTTTTCTTTTTTTGCGATATTTAGGAGCGGCAGCTGTAACTGTGAAGTCTGGAGGAAAAGTATATACTTTAAATGTGGGAGACAATATGCTGATCAGACAAGAACCAGGAGTAAGTTTTTAGTTTATTCCCCTGGCCAATTTCATCACTAATTTAGGATTGATACAAAATGTTTTTATTTTTAGCTTGCCTGCTTGAAGAATAGGGAGAGGTATTGTACTCACCCCGGCGTTGGCGTCCGCCGTCGCTGTCACCACTTGGGTTAAGTTTGTGTGTGCAAATTGGTACCTCGAAAACTACTGAAAGGAATACTCAATAGGTTGAAACTTCACATACTAAGTGTTCTCTTTGATCATTTAACTTTATGGGCACAGGCAGGTTTTTTTATCACTTGCAAATTTTTGTGAGTACAAAAAATTTAAACCTGCAAAAACCAGACCAAACTCGCTTTTTTCAACATAGTATCTACCAATATAATACATGATGCTTATGCATGCTTATCCATTTGAAATTTTAATAGAAAATTACTAATGACGGAACAGCGTTAGTAGTACATGCGAACAGCACTGTAGCATTTTCGACATCAATTATCAAAACAATTTTTTTATTTAATCAGACATTATAAATGTGCTAGTTATCACTTAATGCCTTACTAAAACCATGAAAATGTTTTCAAAAATTGCATTTATTGAACTTGTCTCAGACTGTTTAAGAAAAAAATTCTGCTGTTTCTTAAAGACCATTGACCCCCTTGAGAACCTATAGAAATGGCTAATGATTGCTAATGAAACAAATAATGCCGGATTCCTACTCACTGGATATCTTTGGAGGTTTTCAGGAAGTTAATTATTTTGAAAGAGGAAAAAATTGAAATAAAAACAAGGCCACCCAATTTTTGCCTTTATTGCCTATGTGATGACATTTTTTAATTTCTTGGGAGGCTAAGACTAATCAGTTTTTGTATAGGGTTATTGTATCGATATAAATACTTTCAACTTTGTTATTCTGTCTTTCAAATAATTGTGACATTATTATTGTATTTTGTTTTATAAATAGGTACACAGCAACTCGCTCCAGAGGCT